TCTGCTTCCAGTGGGAATTTCTATTGCAGATGCGACGACTGTCTGCTGGGAATCGTCGACGAGTATCTACGGAGCCCTTTAGTGGTCGGTAGGAAAAAGGTAACGAAGTTTTCTCAGATCCGTCCCAACGAGCGTCGATCATCCGTCTGGAAACAGATAGGAAAATCGGAAATTCTTCATTTCGACAAAACAATCGTGTTTCGTGGTCATTGCGACTGGTCGAGAAAGCAAATAAAATATCTCACTGGTAACGCAACTTCTATTTACACGGTCAATTTTTCCCCGCAGGCTCGACTCCTTTTTTAATCACGGCTCATTTATCGCTGTGCAAACATACCGGGGCATTCAATCATACCTTAACTAGGAGAAACGTTCTAAAGGCGATTCATCGTCGTCCGACAATAGATCAAAATCAAATAATATGATTAATAGGTTTATATTGAGTTCTTCGTATGAAAATCATAGACACAACAGGACACGTCGAGTTATGTATTTTCGTTGACCCTGACAATCAGGTTCTTCAATCTCAGAAGAACAATTTTTACGTTTTTATAATCTGCTTGTTGCAGCTAGAGAATTTCCCAGATTAATTGCTGCGATAGAATTCGAGAGCACGTCGGCGCTCTTTTGAAGTCGATCAAGCCGACCGATTGAGCAACCGACGAGTGATGGAAAAGGCAACGGCCCGTTAATTGAGACCGGGCCCGTCGCACCGTTCACGATTCGTGGAATCGCAGAAACTCGGTGAACTTCTTGAACGGAAATAAAAAAGATGCCTGGGACTTACACGAGAGAATTTAGGCATTGGCCAATCGGTTTTCTAATCGATTCGGTCTGTCCACGAGTTTGCATTTAATCAGCGTATCGTCCTTAGGCATACAGAATGAGAGAGCGAAAACGACGCCGGTCCAGTTTCGAAACTGTCTTCTCTTCGAGAAACTCCTCAGGGCTACGAAGAGGAACAAACGGGCAAATCGATCATAAGAACAAGCCTCGTTTAATCATCGCTCAATGGATCTCGTTGGTCGGTGTAATCGATCACTGAAACGCTTTCAATGAATCACTTTGGTCAAATGTTCTATTTTAAGATTTGGACATTCTGCGTACATTGTCATTTTTATCGGCTACTCTTACCCGGCGAGACGCGCGATCCTTGGATCGCGTTATCGAATGTTTTTTCGTCGTGCGACATCTGGGTCAAGGGTTTCTCGCTTTCGTTTCGTATGCTCCGTACGCTCCTTAAAAAGTCCTTTCGAACGACTCTTATCTCGATGAGACGGCCCCCTGCAAACGAACGAGCGTCCAGTTAAATTTGCTCGCACTGTTGTTTATTTGCAACGCGTGAAAATCGACGCGAGGAACGACCGGGGGTCGGCGAGCGACGACGAGTTGTCGTTGGTGGACTCGTTTGGGCAAGAGGTGACTCGGACTCTCGAAACGGAGGCGATATCGCAGGCGCCTAAGCCTGATAAATGGAGTGTGCACGAATTTATGAATATCGTAAAATTTCCATAAGCGTCATGCGTGCACGCGCGGCTGAGACCCAATTTCTGCTGGTTGCGCAACCAAACGGGAGAGCGAGAGAGCGAGCAGTGTATATTCGAATTCATCGGGCGTTTATCGTCGAACGCGTGAAATTGAATAATTAAGCCGTCCAGTTTAAAATCATTTGCGCTCGTTTAAAATGCGTGACGCACGCGTGGGACGGACGATCCTTCGTCGGGTGAAACAGAGAGAAAATCGGGGAAACCGTGGCCAGAACAAGGATGGAACCCTGCGCAGCATTGAACTCAATGATAGTCGCGCGACGAGCCGATCCCACCAGATTTTTTTTCCACCGTACCGCAGATTGCCCATGGCAATGATTCAATTTTATTTCTTCGTCAGAATGATTAACAAAATATCGATCTGTTTCTGCTAGTCGTCGGAATGCATGAGACGCGTTTTAAATTGGAATAAAATCGAGCAATCCTCACACGTGGAAAACGGGAACATCCTTGGTGGTGGACGATCTCTTGTACGAATCTTGACGCAGTTGTTTACCATTTTGAACAATAGTAAAGTGTCAGCGACTTCCGGTATATCTCCGCATCGGCTCGGCCGTTTCGATTCCTGATAATTCCGCTAATGACGCTCGCGAACGCCAGTTAATTAGTCGATGACGCATTTCGATCGGGTAAGCTGGCTGGCCGCGGCCGCGTCGCGTTCCGCCCGATGTAACCGATGAAAATCGCGAGACAAAGTTGTTCGACACGTACTCGACCAATCGTCGCGATTCTATGTAAACATTGTTGCCCGGCGCGCGTCCAGCCCGATTCGCATGCCGGAAAGCTGCGATTTCGCGTGGAAACGACAGCTGCTCACGTCGCTCGAGGTCGGGGAACACGCGTTCCGCCGTTTTCCCAGTACGAATTACGATGATAGTACGTGCGGTGCTCGACAGGCACAGTTCGTCGATCGATCGGATCGCGTTTTGATCGAGAGATCTAGACGAAGGAACAGTTCCCAACGAGCGTTCCTTAAAGTGAGAAATCGTGTGGCAAGCATTCTGCCAGTATCGATCCTTTAGTGATCCGCTTCGAGCTTCGTACGAAGTTTAGTAAAAAGTTTGTAAGATTCAATTTGATTGAACTTTCTTGTGCAGCAGCTAAGATTGAACGGCTCGGATGTGGAATACGTGATGGACAATCGCTGCTTGGTGGCACCCGTGTGAAAACAACGATGATTATCTATGAGCAGACCATAGCCGGAAGTTCCTTGGATCTGTGAGCGGACGAGCGATAAGATTCGCTCACGGTTGTAATTTTCTTTGGTGCATTCGATGGAACGCTTGCTTATGTAAGCCCCGACGTTGACAGAGGATTACGAACCTGTTTGAAAAAACTCGATTAGGGGAGAGAGATAATCGTTTTTCCCGATAACGATTCGCTGGGATTCGAGCCTTTCCTCTGACTCAATGAGTCGGATGAGACCGTAGGAAGAACGACGAAGGAATCTTAATTTCGATTCTGTGAATCGAGGATCGATTAACGGAGCATCTTAATTTCTTTTCCGAGCAGGGGCACGCGAGTAACGCGAGAAATTCGAAGAAAAACGTGGCGTGTCGCGACTATACGTGCAGAGGAACGTCACGTTCGCTTCACAAAGTTATTACGTAATCGGCTGATATTACTTGCAACGTAAACGGTGACGCAGGTGCAACGACGACGAAATTTGACAAACGCAGTCGTTCGTGAATCACCGAACACGGTTCGTCTGCCTGGGGTCATGCATCTAACGTGAACAGCTGATATTTTCGAAGAAGCGAGCAATTTGTTCTATAAGAGAGACTTTTGTGTATCTGCGAAGAATCGTGAGACCCCGGATCAACAGGTACCTTAAAAGTTGCAGTCAGGAATTGATCGAAGAGCATTAGAAACTCAGGTATCAGAAGGATATTGAATTTCGTGTAACGATCGAGGAGCGGTGGACGGTAGTAACTGAATAAAAAAGTGGCACACGAGGTGACTCGCTTTCGACTCGACGAAGAGGCCTGAACGTGGGTGGACGGGACCGGCCAGTCAATCCAGGTGTTTCGATTGGACCGCAGCTCGTCATTAAACGTAATTACCGGCATCGGACCGCTTACCAATTACTCGAACGCACTCGTCCGTGGCACTCGAACCAGAGAGTGCGTTCAGATAATTACTGGTTGTAAATTACTCTATATTGATCGTAATCACAGAGCGCTGTCGTGAATTTTTTAAATTCTTGCACGAAATACATGGATCGTAATTGATGACAGGAGGAGATTACTGTACTCTTGTCTCGAGGGGAAAAGCTTCTGAACGGTTGGAATTATTCAGAGGAGTGTTGGGAATTTCATCAGCACACGGTTCCTCGTACGAAGGCGTGAAAGCTCCGTCCAAGAATTTCCATTGACGCGGCCGCTGCTTATTAGCATCCAATTCGGTATTCGGAGAACTGGGACACGCGTCGCTATTTACGTTGTTTCGTCTCCGGGGAATTGTTCCGTTGACAATGCGCCAGAACCATGAATCCTTCTGGGACAAACATCCGCGGTGCAGTTTTTTCGCGTGAGATCTTCGAGCCAGTCTCGTCCCGGTGAAAGACGAACACACAGTGCGTGTTCCATTGATGATTCGACGGACGATATTTTATTGATCATCTGACTCCCATTGACGATCGAAGATGCAGCAGACTTACGACAGAATAACGATACCAAAGATCGTCGTTTGTACGAAATCGGAGGATTGCACGGATGCGAACGAATGCGACAAGAGATTACTGAGCCATAGGAAGATAATTAGATCGAGGAGCAGGAGACACTCGAGGCGATTTCCTTCAGGTGTCATCGATCATCGTTCGCCGCCTTCTTCCAGGAGTCCTTCGCCATCGTTCGTGAATCCCCAATCGCAAAAACAAGCCCGAGACGCAGAAAAATCCAACAACGGCCCGTGTAACGACAACACTGAAAAGGATGTATCGGTTCAACTGCAAATCGAGCACGACTCGACAAAGATTGATGAGAACCGTGCAGGCAGAGATGAGGCCACCATTGAAGGATTGCAAAAGGGCGAAAAAGAAAAGAGCATGAATAATAGATCCTTGAAAAGTAACGGGGTCGAGGATTGCAAGAAGATCTCCAGATGCAACAAGTGCATCAGAGGTCAAAGTAACGGGGAGGAATCTTGCGTGCAGAATTGTTCGGGGTATCAGCAGTATCTCAGACTGCTGGAAGTCCCACCGATTAATTTGGAATGGGGCGAAGGCAGTGGTGACGATTTGAGCTCTGAATGGGACTCGGATCAAACCGATAAATCGCACGAAAGGAAGACGCTCAAGGTAACAAAGAGCGGTCTTCAAAATAAATTCATTTTCTCATAAATAAAATTCTTTATGTCATTTGCGTGGTCGTCGATCCTACAATCTTTAGTCTTAAGATGACGGTAAAAGTGATAAGAATATTTTAACGAGGTTCGTGTTTGGTATTGTTTCAGTCGTCGGGATGGAGAAAGCTTCGAAACATCGTACACTGGACGCCTTTCTTCCAGACGTATAAAAAACAACGGTACCCTTGGGTAAGTTACAAACTCTGAATTTTTTTAGTCGTTTCAACGATTCCATCATCGAATATATGCTGTACCCAGGTTGCTTCTTAAAAATAGATTCTCTTGTCGCTGATCGCAGGTACAGTTAGCGGGTCATCAAGGGAACTTTCGAGCCGGACCCACGCCAGGAACGATTCTAAAGAAACTTTGTCCTCAAGAAGAAGCCTGCTTTCGGCTACTGATGAACGACGTACTAAGGCCGTACGTGCCCGAATTCAAAGGCGTGTTGGACGTGAAAGAGGCAGAGGAAGGGAACACCGAGGAGACTGACGCAGCGCAAACGCTTCAGAAGGATAATAATACTGACGACCCTGCGAACAAAAAAAGCGTGGTGTCCTCTTACTTGCAGCTGGAAGATCTCCTCGGAGACTTCGAGCATCCGTGCGTAATGGACTGCAAGGTCGGAGTCAGGACGTATCTGGAATCGGAACTTGCCAAGGCCAAGGAGAGACCTAAGGTATCATGTTCGATGCGTGTTTTTAATCGTTACTCGTTAATAATTGTCAGCTGAACGTTAGAATCTCTGTTGCAGCTGCGGAAGGACATGTATGAGAAAATGGTGCAAGTAGACCCCGCTGCGCCGAGTGCCGAGGAGCGTCGTGTGCAGGGTGTCACGAAACCGAGGTACATGGTCTGGCGCGAGACCATTTCGAGCACGGCTACGTTAGGCTTTCGCGTGGAGGGCATCAAGCTCGCCCACGGTGGCTCGTCAAAGGATTTCAAGACGACCAGGACACGAGAACAGGTTCGTGATTGAGTTACAAACCGGATTACCTTGACGGCACCGACGGTATTGACAGTGACCAACACTTTTTAATTATCCTGAAAAATTATTGCCTCGCGATTCAATAAAAATACCGTTGGTGATTTCACACGAGTTCGAATTAACAATTACGAAATCTGACTCGACGAAAACAAATCATCAGGTGACGGAGGCATTGAGACGTTTCGTGGAAGGATACCCGCACGCGTTGCCCAAATATATCCAGCGTTTAAAGGCGATCAGAACTACGCTGAAGGCGTCACCGTTCTTTGCATCGCACGAGGTCGTCGGCTCCAGCCTGTTGTTCGTCCACGATGCCAAGAACGCTGGAATCTGGATGATCGATTTCGCGAAGACGTTACCTCTGCCCCAACACCTGTCAAGGATTCGGCACGACGCCGAGTGGCAAGTAGGCAATCACGAAGACGGCTATTTGATAGGCGTGAACAATCTGATAAACATATTTCAAGACATACGGAACTCCGAAGGAACGTAACTGTAAGATACAAGATTCCCTCTCAACGGGAGCATGGAAGTTATGCCGTGACTCTACAAACGCGAGTGCATTTCTTTCTTTTTCTTTTTGTACAGACGATGCGGTTTCACGCACGTCACGTGAAATACTTTGTACATAGACGATAGATTTCTGTTACAATGTCCCGTTTATATATTACGCTCTGCGAAGAGAACGGACCAAAGACGCGGTAGCTGTCGCTGCCTAGGTATTCATAACGAGACTATCCTATAACGTAGAGACGACGCGCAAAGAGAATGTGTAAAAAAATAATTTAAGTAATCTAATCGTTACGCAATAAGTTTTATTTATACGTTACATGCGACGTTGCAAGAATCTTCTTGATACAAGAGAACGAAGAAACGACGTTTTCCTTTCCTTTTTTTTGTATTTAAAATCGTACCATGCATTTGTAAATAACTCGACACTTAATTATAAAAGAAGTTCACGACCACGTGTGTTCTCATCGTACATTTCGTTTTCGTATAATATCGAGTCAGCGCGTTGTGCCTTGATCCCGATCGGCTGACCGAGTGAAGTAAGTGGACGACATTTCCGTTTAATTCAAACGAATATCTACACGGCACGGCACGGAACGTAACGCGACTCTACATAGAAGCTCACTAAACTTTTACACTGTTCTTTTTAACTGTCGTAAGATTTTATACATAGAAACGGTGCGAAATCCCTCCGAAATTCTGAACGAAACTCTATACGTGTATTAAAATAAGAATATCGGGGACAAGGGAACAAAGAAAAGAAAGAAAGTGACATCAATTTTGTCAAGGTGTGTTATATGTGTTGTTTCTCGACGGCTGCGTTTGGATGCTCTGCTGCTGATTACCCGTCGACTGAGAAGAGGTGATCGTACTCGGTGCGATCACCCGGGCGTACACCGCCGCGCCCGTCGTCTTCAATCCAGCCGGAGTCGGTATCACCTTCAACCCGTGCAACGTCTTGATATTAAGCAATTGACTGGGCAAGATGATCGGTTGCTGTTGCGTCTGCTGTTGCTGTGACGGTGCCTGTTTCCCGAGCACCACGCTACCACCGCTGCTCACTCCGACTCCGACGTTCTTGTTGCCGCTTGCCAAAACGATCGGTTTCCCGGCCAGCTGAGCCGTGACCATCCGAACGGTTTGCGCCTGCTGCGGTTGCTGCTGCTGTGTACTAGCGATGATCTTCGATTGACCAGCGGACGTCTGCGCCTGCGACACCACCTGAGAGTCGCATAAGAAAAACGGAACGGAGTTTAGTTTCAAAGAGATTAACTTGGAAATAGAAATTAGTAGAAGCTGTACCTGATATTGAGTTTGTATCACTTGTTTCCCTTGCCTGTTGAGCTGAGCGGCATGGCTGGCCGTAGTCGCCAGTTTCAACCCCTTCTGAGCGAGCAGACTCTCCACAGAGATTAGCTGACCACCGCCGGAACTGGTCAGAACCTTGGCCAGTATCTTCTGCTGTTGCTGTTGTTGCTGTTGTTGCGGAGATTGTTGAATCTGCACGGCGATCGGTTTCCCACCGATCTGTGCAATTATACGTTGCATACCCGAAGTTTGTAACGATTGCTGTTGATTGGTCACCACTCGTTGTTGGAGCGTTTGCTGTTGCTGCTGCTGTTGTTGCTTCAACTGTTGTTGTTGCATTTGCTGCGATTGGTTACCGGACGGCGATGACTGTTTAATGAAGATCGTCTGGCCCTGAAGACCGTGGCCCGTCAAGAGCGACTTGATCTGTCCCGAGCTAACTAATTTTATCTGAGAAGCCAGCAGAGTCTTCCCAGGCAGTACGTGCTGCTGCTGTTGCTGAGGCTGCTGTTGTTTTATATTGGCGGTCTGCAAAATACTTTTGCCCGCTTGATTCGCGACTATCGTTTGCTGCTGCTGCTGCGACTGTTGTTGACTCTGCATTTTACTCGGTGGCAGTATCGTAGACAAATTCGTCGTCACGTTCGTCGGGTTCGCACTACTGGCCACCACAGACTGCGCGGAGTGCAACACCGAGTGCCCGGACAATCGTATCGTCTGCAAACCGGCGGACGTCGACACTTGAATCTGATGATGCGGGAAATGCTGTTGATTCGATTGTAGCAAACTCTGTGCGCTGGTCTTCACAACGGCGACTGGCTTTCCGCCGATGTTCGCCGCCTTCTTCGGTGCAACGGTCGTGGGTATTGGCGATTTCATTTCGCTGGCTATCACGTCTTTCTCTACAGTTACGGTGCTGACGGACGAAGAAGAGCTCGAGAATGACGTGACTGGGACGGTGGGTGCCGCGACTGACATAATGGAACTCGACGGCGCGCTGATTGTTGTTACAACGTTTGTGACCATCGTCGATGGTTCCGTGGAAATGGAATAGTCGTTAGTGTTCTTCTCCTCATTTTTCTTTTGCTCTTTTCTGTATGAAAAACAAAGAAAATTTAGAATCGAGAAAATGTTTCGATAGGATTATAAATTTACCTTGAAATGACAGGCTGCGCAGTCGACGTCGTTTTTCTCTCCTTCTTAGGAGTAACTTCTTTAACGTTATTCGGAGATTGCTCCTTGTTAACATTAGCAGGTTTTATCACTGCTGGGAGTGCCTTGTTCCGGGACATGTTCCCAACGTTCTTCTTGTTTTTCGCAACGCCTTGCAATTGTTGATGGTACATTTCTACCAAAACAAAATGTGCAAATGGTTTGTTTCCTAGATCGTAAAGTACAAAAGAATGATGCGATAGATACGAACCGAATTCTGATTCTGAACGCGCTCGATGGAGATAAAGCCATTCTTTGCGCCTGGGATAATATCGAACGCAGGGATCTGTTTCGTAGTGCAATCTGTCCAAAGCCCCGGATACTACCGAATGCAAGTATCCCTCCTTGTCATCGCTTTCCGTCTGTTCCCTGATGTACTGGGAATCCTTTAACAACTGACAAATATCAGCCCGAGTTCCCTCACCGTTCGGAAGTCTCGCGGTTGCATCTCTGACCAGAGCTAAGATCGTCACGAAGTTTGGCCGATCCGCTACCAACAGAGAGTGCCCTCGAGCCTTGGTCAATCCGGAAGCTGTCGCATGAAGGAAACAATACGTAGATAATATATTTTCGTGCAGATCTTTCAACGAAATTATACGATCGAACGTACCAACGTTGTGTTGATAGATGCCTTTCACCGGACCTACGACGGACGCGTAACCATGCATTTTGTATGTAAATGCTTTATGAGGCGCAGCGTAACGCATACGTTCTTGTCTCCGAAATTCCTCCCGCTCGTCCACGGTGGATGCTCGGACTTTCCATTCCGTGGGCCACAGGGCACGAGGTGGTTCCCATTCCGCGACGGTGTTTACTGATCCACCGTCGACACTGATCGATTCTATCGCCGGACTACTATCTCTGACGCTCGTAGGCGTATTTCCATTTCCGGAGCTGTTACTGACGTTACTACTAGCCAGAGGCAACGGGGCTTGTTGCTTCACGGTCGTTACGGCACCGGCAGTCGCGGACGATGAACCCAGCGAATCTTTGTACATCAAGAACTTGGTGCACAGGTCGGCCAGACGGGAATCCGAATCTCGTCCAGCTCCGATCCACGCGTAAACTCCGTTTCCTTTATTTTCTAGATACGGAACGAGTTCTGGGTCCCGTTCTTGACGATCACTGATGTCTTGACTGTATGTAAGTTCGCCAGCAAGAAACCCCAGAGCCAGTGGAACCAACGCTGGCCAGGAGGAGGCTAGAGAGTACCAATCGTTCAACGGCGAAATTGGATTCCCTTGCCACAGCATGACAGCGTCCTTCATCTCTATCGCGCTCATCCTGTATTCACCTTTCGAGGTGAACGCGTCTCTCAATAACGAGAAGAAGCAAGCGTGCGTCTCTTGCATCAACTCGGCACCGCTGTTAATATCAATCGCGTCCTCATTCCCTTGTACCATATCTTTCTCCGGTATCGATATCACACCCTCGTCCTCGCACTTCACGTCGTCCAATATGTCGATCCCGTCGTCCAGTTGTATCGGCAGTTGCATCATGTCGATGCTGTCCAAATCGAGTTCCTTTTTATCGTTCTCCTCATCCTCCTCCGTTTCAAGCGGTCCGTCTTCATTAACTCCCGCGCTCAGCTCCGTTTTTATGTCGTCGTAATCGATGTCCTCCACTTCCTTCTTGATCTCCGGTGTCAAGACTGAAGGTTTCCCGCGCGTGGCCGGGCTCAATTTCTTCTTGGCTATTTGATGTATCTCGTACGCGTCGATTGGCTCCGATTTGATCGGAGTCAACATCCTGTGATCCATATCCAACGTACTGGAATGTCTGTTCTCGTCCGTCGTGTGAGAATAATCGCTGTTGTCGCTCTCGTGTTTTATCGAATTGGAATTCGGTAATCTCGGCGCCGGGGGACAGAGCGGTGATTGTTGCTCCAACTTGATCCGTTTCTTCGCCGGTGTGACACGCATAGAAGGGCCGAGCGTTAATTTATGCTTCTGGCCGACCTGCGCTCTCTGTGTCAGATCGGCCAGAGCGATGCCTTGCGTGTTTAATTCCGGATGAATCTGGAAATAACAATGATGATCAAACAAAGTTTCATCTTCCGTGTAAATTTATTCGCGATAAATAAATTCACTTACGTCGCGCCGTGCTCTCCGCTTCTTGTGCTCGAGCAGCATCTCGCGATACATTTCCTCCGTGTGCTCGCGAACAAACAACGATCTGTTAGCAGGATACTCCGCCCGTTGCAACGTGGAGAAAACAGGCCTGATGGTCTCGTCCTCGTGATTCATTTGCATTCCCCTGATGGACAGTCCCTGAACGCTCATGAGGGAACGCCGTTTTTTCTTCTGCTTGGCACCGGGCATCTGATACTGCGGATAGTTCTCCTCGTTCTCGGACGTCGTGTCGGCTGCCAGCTTGGCGCTCGCCCCAAGTTCTGTCCTCAGCGCATTCAGTTCCTCCAAATAGCGCAGTTGCGTCTTCTCTTCAACTGTCGGTGCATTGCTTGTTAGTATTGTCCCTCGGAAGTTACTACATACTTCTCTGCCAAACGGCTGGAGCGTGGGGGAAGTATAAACAGCAAGAAAACTTTTTACATCCGATCGCAGCAGCAGCTTAACTTACCTACAGCAGGCTTTGGTTTTCTCCATTGAACCCTGGACATCGTACGCTGCGCCGGTTGACAAAATCCTTGCTTGTACGCGTTCGAAAGCAGGCTCTCCCTGGATTTGAGTAATTGACTGGCCAGCTCGTATGATCGTTTTCGCTCTTCGAAAAGCAGTCTTCTCTGTTGCGCTTTACGTACCAAGCTACGTATTCTTTTGATATCCGGCCGATAATGTCCGGCAGATAAGTGGCTGTGAAACACGTCCAGAGGCGCTTGTCCGAATCTAAGGTAAATGAATAAAACCGTGGAATAAAATGGTTTGCGTTGTATAAAACCGATTTAAAGCACTGATGATCAACCTCATGGGTTCGCGTTCGAATAACATCCGTAAAGTTTTCTCTGTCTCCGCTTCTACGTCGTAATCCTTTGGGAAAGCTGGTAAGAGTTGGCACAAAGTTTCTCTCTGGCTCTCCGTAAGGCATTCGTTCCAAATGTACGGATAATCGAGGAACTCTCGAAAAATTGCTGCGTGCTCGCAAAGATCTTGCGGCAATTTCACTTTGGTGTTCGCGGCAACACATGTTTCCCATTTCTGGAAATAAAATTCTTTCGTTAACGGAAACAATGGCAATAGGTTCTACGGAGGAGCATGAAATTAGAGGCAGCACCAGAGTATCCGGACTCTCCGCTTTGACAGAGTATTCCATGTTCTCGTTCTCCTCGTCGTCCTCCTCCCCAGAGCTATGAGTTTCACTGCCACTTGTACCATGTTCCTCTCCACTATCGTCTCTGCTGTCCGTAGAGGTGCTGTTGCCACTGATACTACTGCTACTGCTGTTGCTTCTAGACCCATGAGATGATGCATCCTCCTCGTCCTCTTCAGCTCCACTGTCACCACCAGCCGAGCATTCATCTACCTACATGTACAATGTATATAAAAAATGAACAGACGTTTATCTTCTTTATAAAACAGAGTAATTCTTGTGGAGGCAATCGATGTAAATGCAATCTTATTTCCGTGCACCGTTCTAAATGTGTAAATAGTCAACGTAAATACTTATTCGGTTAAGGGTGAGAAAATAATCGACGTATGATAAAGAACCAGAACACACGCGTGTATTTAATGATCAACTGATCAATTATAAAAAATAACGAATGTATCAGGAACGGCGACGAACGTTTCCTCTTCGCGGAGTAACAAGACACAGGGTATGCGTGTCGGGTTTACGATGGATACAGTGTTATCGATCACACGGGCATTAATTTCGAAGTAATTAATCGTAACCAACCTCCATTATATTCACTTTCTGCGCTTGCTCTTCTCTTCGGCCGCTGGGTTCCTGCCGTTTCTACGAAAATAGCGAATCCTCGCCGCCAACGAATATAATCCGCGGAACAGAAAACGATGCGACGAGGATAAATCCGTCGACGTTGCCCGATGCGAGAAATCTTTCCTTTATCGGGCGAATATTAAGTAATTTCGCTATTCACCGTTTGACCTGTCACAGCTACCGCACTCCTACTCTTCCGACAAATTTTAGTCATGGCGTGGAATACAGCGAAACAGAACCACGGTGTTTGTATATTGAAAGATCTCGAGCGCGCACCTTCTTCACCGGTTTAGAACTGTGCTCGCTCAATGGCGGAGATTTTAAGGCTGATCCGAACACGGTTCAAATCGTTCGATCGCGGGATAACAGCAGGAACCGGCATCCGGAGGATCGACGATCCTCCGCGTTCGTTCGATTAAACGGATCCGTCTTTCCTCTCGTGTTAAACGAATATAAATTTGATTACTTTCGTTATTTCGATGGAAAATAGACTTGGTAATATTTGCTTATCTTCGGTATTTGTTGGCAGCACTTTACGAGAACAAGTTTCAATTCGAATTCAATATTATTCGAACCTCCCGAATGTTTTCAAGGATCTCGACATTCTCGGGAGCAATAAATCTCTAATAAGCGTTAGTTAATATTGCCTAACCTGTTAATGGATTGCATTGTTAAAGGAAAAAGAATACACTTGGTTTTTTTACAAAATTTTATTAGCAAAAATATTTTAACAAACGAAGTATTAAAGTATGAATGAGTAAATACATTTCTGAACTTAATAGTCACCTGTATAAAATGTCAGGAATCGTTATTTGTACTTTTGCACAGCATAGGAACAAGTCTGTACCGAGAGGGTTCGTTATACTGAACGTAATTATACAGGTACTGTAACTGGCGGTTTAACTTCTACTTTGTACTGATATATCACTCATTTACTTTTATGTATATTTTATATAGTATTTATATATATAATAGTTACTTTTATAACTCTTCTTTATATACCTTTACTCTCCTTTATATCGATATCTTATCAAGGGACGCAGCAGCGTCCGGAAGGTAAGTTTGTTAATACTGATTAATAGTATCCGATCACAGTGTTCGCAGTTATTGCGAAGTCGGTTTTAAGATGGAACGGTTTGATTTATATTTTGTGTCACGCCGTTACAATTTGGTTCCGGAGCCATGGGCACCATCGGCGCGTACGGCATGTAATGTGGTTGTCCAGCAACTGCATACCAGTGTTCTGGAGGGATATTTTGCGGAGGCACGTTAAACATAGCTGGCGGTACAGGATTGCACAAGTAAGGCGGAGGACACGATCCGGAATAAGCTTGCGCGTAGTCCATCCCGGGATACGGCTGAGGTAGATACGGCTGTAAATTATTGACGTCGGGCATGTCGGTGGGTGGCAAGCATTGCATCGGGATGTATCCCGGGCTCGGAGGAGGATAATAAGGATTTGCGAATGCCTCCCCTTCGTTCGAGTAATACGGTAATCCGGAATACATTCCTTGCTGCATGTGAGTTTCTTGATAAGAATTCATCATATCTGCTGGTACGGGTATCTGAGGGGGGAACGAGTTCGTATGCCGGATACCTCGGTAGTTCTCTTTCGTACCTCCCTTGGCAACTTTCACGTCTGTATTGGGCCGATACCGTTCTGTGCAATTAAAAACTATATCGATTTCTGTAGTCCTAATGAAACGAGGAATTTAAAAACACTTACTTCCTGCGTTCTTTTTGAATCGCGGACTCAGTCCGTTTCTTCTTACGGGGGATTGCGCGTAAGTGTTCTTATTCGGAAACTTCTGCACTTTGTCGGAAGACTGATTACATCCATCTTTCACATCCTCTGCTTTCGGAATTTCCGTTTTTTGAATCAGATTATTTACAGCATCTTTAGTTTCTCGAGGTACTGGTTTCCGGGTAGTCTCTGTTTTAGTACTCTCGTGTTCTTGTCCCTTCTGTGCCAGTGTACACTCACGCATCATTTCTGTAGTACTACTTATCTCTTCGTTCGAAGTTGTACCTTTCCAATAAATATATTTAACGTTATAAAGTAATATAAATCAATATGATCGATGTCAATGTACCTCGATAGCACTCTCCAAAACTCGGCGATTGTCCATTCGTTAAATAATTCCAGTTACCACCATTGTGAAAATACTACAAAACAATATAAAGTTAAAACGTGTACAGATAGTTTACAGAATAATTGCACTAACCTCTAATCCTAGATTATAAAAAAATCTTAAAGTTAATGGATCTGCAATGAAAAAAGATCATTTATAAATTCGTCTACTAAACGATGAACTATGCTGAACTTTGAAGTATTACCTGACAATGGTAAATCGCTACCACTTATATCCACACTCTTTTGCACGGTGCAATTAATAGGAAGCAGTTGTACATTAGAATTCTCTGAATCTTTAGATACACGTAAAGAACCGATATATAAATTATTCTTCTGTAATTATTAATTAGTCATTAATATCTTACCAGTGTAATTGTAATAGGTTTCCTCCAGTGTTCTTTCTTTCGGATACCCGTTAAATGGCACTATGCTGTTATTACTATCATTATTAATTGCACTATCAGACTTCGAACCTCTTTTGAAATTATTCCCTAAATTTTTATTATACGTGAACGAACTCCGTTCTCTACGCTCCCTACTTTTCTCTTGCCTTCCCATGTCTATGGGAGAAGATTGGGCTTTGGGAGCACCCATGGGAGACAATTCATCATTATCCTGTAGTGAAAAATGTTTCGTTAGCATTTATAAATGTATTTTTATAATCACTGAATGATTTTCGTGACTCACGATCGCCGAGAAACTGGAAGAATCCTGCGAGGCAAAGTTTTCGTAGGATTCACCGTTCACTTTCTTCGTTCCTTCTTCTTTCCACGAAATATTGTTTTTATTAATATCGCTAATAATAGAATTATTGTTCTCATTTGTATTAACGTTATTCGGTAAAACAGTAATTTTCGTCTTAGTCGGCTTTACATTGTACGTCTTCTTCCATTTCGTACCTATTCGAACATAAGAAATAGATAATTTCACGTGCTTCTGTCAGGAACGCTGAATCCAGATTGAAGTACTAACTTGAATCTAATGATAGATTCTTCTTATACGTCGGCGACCAATTCCCTTGTCTATTCTTTTTCGACGGCAGCGGTTTAAGAGCGGAATATGGCACGAGCCTCTTCTCACCTAATTCTTCAATAAAAACTAATACAGGACCCTCGTTCTTGTCTATTTCTTGAATGTGCCCATAATAAAATACAGGGTCTTTGTCAGTCTTTCCTATAGTTTCTATACTGTCATCGAAACTCTTTTCGAGTGAAGGCACACAGTCATTGTTATTATTATTGCTATTCTTGTCATAATTTCTCTCATCGAAATTCACCTGGACCAAACACTTCCCACCGACTTGAAGCTTATTAGCGTTGTGTTTAGTCCATCCTGCATTTTTTACCTCTATGATATATAAAAGTTGATGAGACTCTTTAATGAGATAATAAGATATTGAATAAGGGCATGTTTTTATTACCCCTTCTGATTTCGTGCCATATATCGAAGTCTGTGTTACGATAGATATTTGGATCCAGAGCTTTGGCCACTTTATAAGGAAACGGTGGTGTGCCAAGTTTGCTCCTTGCTACACCTTGCGCATCATCAGTCTCATCGTATCCGTTATCCGTATTTTCCGCATTATAAATATCAGTAGTTAATTGTCTAAGCAGAACAAAATTTTAAATAAAAATCTGAATCAGATTCGCAGTCGGGATAGTAACTTACTCTCGAATTTCTAAATTCTCCTTCAGGAAAAACTTATCGTGCCTGAACGTTGCCGTTTTATCGTGTAACATTTTATCTACAGTGCCTTCTATGTTGTCCATTTCAAAGACGTTCTCATAGAGTACTTTATAAACGATAGCTGTAAAACAGTTTTAGAATTATTTATAATCGCCTGATGTGATCAGAGAAATTATGAAGAGCCCTACATTGGCAGAAAGCAGCATTTCCCACATAGTCTCTTGTGTAAATGCATTCGTACTGTTTTGCCGATGTCTGGCACAAATATATTGTATCCTTGCTATCACTGTTAGTGCCAATGTGATCTGTTTGGTTGTACCCGGAAAATATAACGAAATTCCTTTCGTACAGCATGGACATCGCTTGAATTTCAATGTAACCACCCCATTGCGTGAAACAAGCCATTTGGTCTAAGTAATCGTCGAACGGTATCGTTATGTACTGGAAAAGATGATTATGTTAATTGAACTCTCAGAATATCGAGGATTAGCAGAGACGCCTAGTATCCACCTGTTCGAATAGATATCTCATCCTTCTCATGTACTCCACGCATTCCTTCCTTACTCTTATGTGATAATGCTGCGTCAAATAAACCTGTTCACTAACTGCTCGGAACAGACAAGTTGAATCTCTGGGCGCGTGTTTCCTGAAGTATCCTTCTAATCGTAGCCATTCGTCCATCGGCTCTCTCGGACGTTTCGTCGGCTTTCTTTGTGATATCTCCATTGTTTGACACTAAAGGGTAAAAATTAGACGAGATTCTTTCGATAAAAATCAGAAGATCGTACGTCTTAAGGTTTTAACGTAGTAATAGCAGAGAGAACAATCTTCTCTCTGGTAATAGTAAGAATCGCGAAGAATATTTGGTGAAGGACATTCTTAATCAACACGGTTTGTAAACAAAGAAAAAAATAAATTAGCTATTCGTCGGAAATGTATAATTTTACCTGGTTTCTTGTATTCGTTTGAGCTGAATATTACTGTCGATTCCTCGAGGAGATCTTTTAAAATCGACGATCCATAAACTTATTTGAATCAAAGGACGAACTGACTAAATGACGATTAGCTATAGTAGCAACTATCAAAACGAACTCTTCCCCTCTAAGTGATAGATGTTACGGTGTACAATCACGACAGATCTATGATGGATCTCTTCGAAACTATTGGACGTCTCGAAACGTTTGGCCAATCGTAATTCATCCCTCGTTCCCCTTCCCGAGGGATATCCGTTCTCGGTATAGATAAGAGTGCAAACTTGCGCACGTGGTTCCTTCCGTTCCCAGTTCCGGGCGGGAACAGAAACCATAATCAAAGCAAATCGAGAATTGACTTGGGTTAAAAATACTTCCAGACTGTTTCTTACAAATTACTTTTTTTATTCGTCACAATTTTCATCAGAATGACAATGCGATGTGTACGAAATATTAAAAAAGTACAATAGCCCGTTATATAAAATATGATTTTTACACAAATATAAGATCAACCGCTGTACCATTGCGATATTCTGTAACGCATGCAATGCTACCCAATTTTTTGTTGCTATCGAAAATAACGTTTGCCCGCGTGCAGCTTTCTTAGTATAAAAAGTACATCCTTTGGCGAGTGTCGAAAGACGCATGCCGATGCAAGCCCAAAATTATTTATTGCTGATAACGTTTAGGAATCAAATCGATCGCCGGTAGATTTCGCATTCGCGGTTGTTTCGCGTTTAGGTTTCGCTCGCGTTTCAATTAAATTTGGGCCCGAACCTTCATCGTCGTTCCGCTGTTAATTGTATCATGTAAAACTCGGCTCGTATGCCTCGCCGAAAGGAACGCTCATGGCGGTAGGATAAGTATGTATAATCATAAGATTACATTAACACAGTTTTCGCATTCTTCTTCTTTCTTCTGGACAATGTATGAATAATTGTTATAAAATGTCACGAATAGAAAATGGAAGAGATGACGAGTCGCTGCTCCCTTTCTTTTGCGTTTTTTTCCGTCTTTTCCATTGTAAAAGCTTTTCTTAAGCAGCTATTTTCTCAGCGGCGATCGCTGCAACGAGACAAAGAAAACATTAGTACGCGAGCTCCTCGCCTTCATTCTCGACGTCGTACAAAACCGTAATTCACCTTCTTTGGTAGGCAACGGATTTTTCTCAAGCGTTTCCGCGTGCTTCAGTTTCGCTGGATCAAAATTCTCGATACCAGAGATCAGCTGCTGCTTTCCCTTCTCCTGTTGGATCGCTGCACAGAGTATACACAAATTATTCATTTCACTAATCTTCTGTTCGATCGACGATTTAAACACGTATTAAGAGACACCGTACCGTCCTTGTCAGGTAGCAGATTCTTTTCTTGAGTTTCGGTATGCTTCAAACGGGCCGGGTCGAATTTCTCGATACCGGACATCAGCGTTTGCTGAGTCTTTTCCGCGGCTACGTCTACAAGGAATAAATCGAGGTCAAGGAACGAAAGACAAAGCTTGGAATAGGAAACCTTGAATACCATCGTGAAAACCTCAGCTGAAATAGTACCACCAGCTACCTGTGTACCATTAGACAATCACACCGCTGATTTTTAAAAACCATGTACCTGTCCAGTTTTATCTGAATCGCTCACGTTCCGATGATAAACAATTATTTAACTGAACAAAATACATTGTTTTTAAATATTCTCACTTAGAACATCGAAACCTCCGTATTATTATTGCGTTATATCTAAAAAGCATTTATCGCTAATGTGAACGTAACAACGTATTGTTATCATGGACGGAGTACACCGAACGGCGACGGACTTATTGCACATGCAAAAATAATTCTCCCTAAGCGGCTGAAAGCGAAAGTCAATAAGCCTTTGTCTGGTCACATATATTTTTGTCTATTGCACGCCACCTCGAAGCATCGCAAGCGTTATATATGTACATGTTCCTTCTGGCTGCGACCAAAGGAGAGACAAGCCTCTGGAACCAACTGTATCCCCCAATGAAGTCAGGATAAATTTGTCTGTGATACCTTTGGCATTGGGCAAAATAATCTTCTCTTTCGTATCGGCGTGTTTCAACTGATCTGGTTTAAACGACTCCACATCGTGGATTAATTCAGTGTGCTGTCGTTCTTGTCGCACGTCTACATATTACAATATCACATGCATTATAAATGAAATGTACCTACACGTCGATATTACGAAATGCAAACGTGGCGATCGTTAAACACAATTAAAAGAGAATAAAATAATTTCTGTCGTACCTTCGGCAGAAGGTAACACATTCTTCTCCGCGGTCGCGGCTTTCTTCATGCATCCATGATTGAAACCTTCCAACTCGCTTTTCAAGTCTAAGGCTACTTTTGGCAGGTCTTTCAACGACGGACTCGACATGATGACAATGTGTTGTACTCCTCAATCTGAAACAATAGAACGACCGTTACCGTTAACGAACGCGTTTTAAGAAAGTATGTACTCATCCCTTTGAACGAATCAATCGGCTCGTGCGTGTAACCTCGATAGTTTACTTGTTAACGATCGAAGTCGTCATCCTTTCGATAGAAGGATTTCACGACGGAAAGAAATACAAAATTCTGTTACGAGTATCTTTAATCTAAAAGTAACTATTGTTATTTATACTTTGCTACCCTGAAAAGTTCAATGCGGCTATCGATGTCCTAAGAAGAATTTCCAATTAGAAAACTGACATCAACGACTTGAACCGCAATCTAATATGAACATTATGAACTGAGTAGCGTTTTCTATAACTGCGATACGCTTCTGTTTGCGGCGTCTGTAAGTAAAGAGTAATCGGACCCAAAAAGAGCTTAGCCAGACTTTTTTCTCTGGAGCTGGTCAGATAACAGAAGAAAATCTGATCTAAACGCCGTTTGAGACCATTATAATTACCTTTGAAACGAGGAATCGAATCATGATCCTTTCTATTCTTAGCGTGAATAATAAAAAGAGGACGTCGGGTATGCATGCATGCATGTTCGAAACGACATAAAGCTGGAATCTAGCAGCGTCGGCGAACGTATCGGTTCATTGTTGCTATCGTTTTGCTGAGAAAGGAACGAGGACTATATACGGACACGTCATGGAAAGACCTATCGATATTGTACGCTTCTCTGCAACGCTTTCAATGCATTATTGACAATTCGACGGGATTCCATGAAGTACGTAGAATACTGTAATGGGCAACTTCGCTTCGGACTTCGATCCTAAATGGTGGAACTTCTTCGACGAAAGATCTTTATTGATTTTCTGTACCCATTAAATGTCGTATTAAATTTTAAAAAGAGAATCCGAGGAGGTCCGCTCGTTTTTCTTTTGGGAGACGCAGACTGCACGCTTGCGAGCGTATAATAAATTCCGGGCGAATAACGGCACCGTTTCTGGCGAATGCAAAGGTAAGCAGAACTGCCGCTCGTCTAACATTTCCGGTCTTACCTCGTTCCTCTTTTTCTAAGTGAAAATAACGGAATTATGCAGTCATAATTATGTCGGAATGCAGTTAGACACGTAATCTTAAAACGCGCTGATTACTTTAATTGCAATTAGTCGACTCGTTTAATCTCGTGCATAAACATAATCAGGTGGCTCGGCTCGCTTCAAAATATTGTTAGAAACGAAAGGAGGAAATATTATGCGTCGTCTAAATTTTGTATTACATGGTAACCAACGCGTTACGAAGCGGAAGCAACAGAAGCTTGCTACTTCCTGTACGCGTTCCTTTCCCATTTCCTTTCTGGTCACATATCCTCCCGTGTAATTCTCTACCGAACCGTCGGCATTTTTATCAACCCGGATTCTTATTCAAGGTATAAACTCCTCGCGTCCTATCTTTTCGACGTTACGAATTTCTTCGCTATGCATCGTACATACACGTAAGAATTCTAATTTTAACGAACCCCACTGACAAACGATAAATGCAGAATTGTCCATCGTAAATGAATCGGATGTTTGTAGACAGAAAAATTGATAGCCCGCGCACGTTTCGTCGTCGAGTGGATTTGTCATACATATGTTCGGATCCGGTAAGCTTGTACTCACCGCACTTTTACGTTTTACAGTTATTAGAGCAGCGACGCAGAATCAACGTTCACAGGACTATTAACATACTTTGAACCTCGCGAAAGTGTATATGTATTACTTCGAACAAGGGATTGCTGGATCAATTTAAAGACGAACCTCGACCAGCAAGTATTCGCAATTAAAAAAGTTTGTGAACCACTGAGAGCTGAAATGACTCATACCAGACGAAGCCCTCTCTTTCTCTCTCTTTCTCTCCCTTCTATTTCTTTCTGTTTTCTCTCCCACTTTTTTCCCTATTTATGTACGCCGCTCGTATTCCTTACTTTTCGCCATTTTCGACTACAGTTCAAAAGAGGCTCTTACATTCCATAAAGTAGAGTCATCGGTTAAAAATTGTCGAGTATCTGCTCGTAGAAACGACTGTTACTCATTCCGAGAGCTTCGTTATCAGTCGACTGTTTTATTTGCAAAATAAATATCGGCGTTTCCGAATTTCTGCCGGACGGGCCTTTAATCAGAAAATATTTTATCAGAAAACGATAACAGATGAACAAAGATTGGAAGGACAGCTGAGGACATTCCAAGATCGAGAGAGCACAGATAAGCACGCGGGCTGTGCCACTAGGAGATGAGTCGTTTCAAGGGATACGCTGCAGCGGTGGGTCACCATCGACAAGGCTGTGTATAGGTCCTTATATGGTAGTCGATCGTACGACTGTATATAGAGAGCTGGAAAGAGGCTGAGCGAGTACGCAACCACGGCACATATGTGCACGTCCTTTACGTATATTACGTTGTACATATTCTCTATCCTCGGCCGGGTACACGGTACGCGTGTAGGAGTATTGCATCAAGTGCACGCATACCGAGGCATCTGTTCATACGTGTCCTGCGTAACGGTAACAAAACGAAGAGGAGATCGGCTCGATTAGTTGTACAGTTAGCCCATTTGGTAACGCTCGCTCGAGACGAATCCTACCGAAGCGTCTGTACACGCGACATGAAAAATCTTTATACGAGGTCGGACAGTTTCGCGGCAAAGTCGGCCGATTTCACGAAAATGAGGAAAGCGCCGATGGTGCTCGAAGATGTCTATCTGATTTGATTATCACGGGTACGGAGGACTGGAAACGGTCTCTGTACGCCAATGCCCAAAGAGAAATCACGATAAATCCTACTTGATCTCGCAGGGAGAAAAGAGGTCTGCGAGTTAATAAGGAAACTAGGTTGCTCGCACCGACGCGCTAGCCAGTTTGCAGGACGCGTCGGTGTATGCCACGCTCCGACGAGTCTTGCTCATCATGAGATCGAACGTATCATAAGATTTAGGTTTCTCTGTTCTGTACTCTCGTCTATGAACAACTCTTGATATCGTCGTTTAACACTAATCGTTAGTAGTATTTCTACGTAGTTCATTAACGTGTAATTGATATTTATATACTTTCTACTGGGGTACGACTTGCATTATTCATAATTTCCACGTATGCAGGTACTCTACATGAATGCGATCGTCCGGAACCGATCGGCTGTGAAATCCAGTGGGATCGATGAGCTACGATTAATTCTAGAAGGGTTTCTGACTGGACACTGTTGCGGCCATCTGGTAAAGAGAGATCTCACGGTTGGCGGCTAACGAGTTCGCGCTGCCTGCCAATTAACTTAGGTAATCGCTTTTAATGGAGGACCCTCAATGGCGTATGCAGCGATTCGTTTACATACTCCGGCTGTATCGACTGGTTGGTCGCTGCAAGTGGTAGGCTGCAGAAACGCACAGCCACCTACGTGCACCGTTAACATGCCCACGTAAAACCGTGCGGAGCGGCCAGGAAAATGCATTTTGTCTACGACGATTCCGTGTCGCGCTCCTACTACTACGACCGATACAAATGCGCTCTTTCTTCCTCGTCCTGCTCCTCGTCTCCCTCGCACTTTCGTGCAACCGTGACGGCTAACGAACCCTGGACGCACGCGTATCGTATTGAGCGGTGGCGCGTAAACTCAGGGGCGTGTTACGTGTTACCAAGCGGTTCGTCCTGCTCCTGATCCTGTATGTCTCTATCCTTTTCGCACAATGAATCATTTCAGGACCGAATTCATCTGACTAATACCAAGTTGACTAACTTCTAATGGGCAACTGTAGAACACGCAACTGCAGAGTGCAATTTCTTCTCTTATATGCATGCACCGATCAGCTTTCGAGTGATTCGGCAAGAAGGGAAATTCAGAATTCAATGCTCGAAAGCCACGTTAGTGAATTATGTCGCGGTAGTTGCCGCGGAGGAGATCCTCTTTAGCGGTCAAGATTTCGTGAACAAGTATGAAGGTATACACCGTCAAGTACTTTGAAGAGAACCCTTTCACCCAATCTACTAGACCGCTTTCGTCATTATGTTTCAGTGTGGCAAGATTCAGAACGGGATGCTTGTTAACGAAAAGTGGATCGTATTCAAAAGTTCATTCATTCACACAGGCGATTTAAATCTGAACAACGTTACGTTATTAGTTAAAAAGAGATTTTCTGTTCACGTCGAATTTCTCTTCTCATATAAAAATTGCAATATCCACATTCAACTCTTTATGTCTTCTGTACTCTACTATAAATGCCGTATGGTACATTAAGGTACTTTTCTATAAACGCATCAAATCCGCAGTCTCAATGAGCCCTGATTAATATTCGAGCTTGAATAGGTGGTTTTGGCTTGTGCCACTGGCCGGGATCGACCTTGAAGACGTCGAAGATGTGCCAGGGCAGAATATTTGTCTTCCGGGATCTGAATGAAATAGCGGTGCGCGCGCGCCTCCCGTATCCGTAAACGCGCGTGTACGGTTTTAGCTCGGGGTTGCACCAGGGGAGCGGCCGACTACTGGCAGACGGTTTCATCGATTGGCAATGCGGGGGTCGAAGCGTGGGGTTCCTGAACTCTCCCCGGCTATCTATACGTACTGTATAAACGTATCGACGACCTCGGGTTTCATGGTCAATGGTAAAAAGGTTGATTTTTTAATACCTCGCGTGGGATTCACCTCGATCTACGATTCATTTACCGCTGAGATGAATTTATGTACGCGATGAATATGTATCGGAATCGCGAAATACCGCGTTACGTTCTATTTCCAATATGTCCACGAAACAAATATATCTTTCTAACATAATGATAAATTCGGTTTAAGCTCCTAAGTGTAAATAGTAATGACAACTTTTATCTTGCGTCGAGTAGTAAGTTTGCGGTAAGATAAAAGTTATCATTAAAAATACGACTCGTTGCAAGCGCAAAGAACGTCGCAAATAAAAATCGCATTCGCGGTACGAATCGATAAATAAAATTTCTAGAATACTTTACTTATTCGTGCTCGCTTGCCTTGAAGCGAGCGAACTCGTTCGCGACATGATAACATGCAAATACCGCTGGAATCTCCCTTATGAAGGTACCAGATGTAAAAACGGCTACATTTAATTAACGAAGAACGTGATTCGAATCGCACGCCGATAAACAGAATTACGAGTCATATAAAATTGTCTATTATTCAAATTAGGTATCTAAATAACTTGTGGACTGAAAACGATTGGCTTGATCTTCGTCAAGATGATCAAGAGCCTGGCTTGTGACAAAGGACAGGAAATGACCGCGACTTCGAGGGACAGGAGCACGTTAGTCAGTCGGCTAGCAGGAACGCATTTGCGTGCCTGATGCGCATCCGAGTGTATCTGTCAAAACCACGCCCTTGACCCATCCTACGACTACATAGGGACACGAAGAAATTCTGGAATTAAGTGTAGCACGACGTCCGTGAACCTCCGCCGGGTATGACTCATTCAAACGCCAGTTATCGTTCTCGATATTCGCCGGCGCTACGCAGAAGTATTATGTTCACAGATCGTACAAAACACAAAGGGGGATAGTAATTCGAAGTAATAATGATGTTCTCGTTATCAAACGTATAAGCGTTAAATAAAAGTGTGACGTCGACGCAACGAAGAACGGTCAGATGAAATATTTCCAACGCCCACGCGAGAAAAGAAGAAATAATGGGAAACCTGTTGGCTCGCGACCGATGGATTCAGATTCGGTACGTGCACAGAACGCGTATGGTGTGAATTGACCACACCCCTCCATTTTCGAATAACGAAAACGATCGATACCCTGTCGAAAGCTTGTTTTATCAAGTTACGTATTCGACGATTTTCAAAATTGACTCGAAGCGCGACTTTCGAAGACCGAGCGTCTCCGGGTCAATTTACGCCGGGTCAAAAAACACGTTTACACACGATCGTGTCGAAGTCTTTGGAACCGTAGAACGCCGGTTCCCCTTGACGATATCAAAGAATCGAGATCCTACGTATACGTTTCTTTCTGTTTACTCGAAGGAGAATCGCGATGGTTCGTTTAAATTAAACAACGATAGCGATTAGAACGCACCAGTGAGAAAGAGCACTGACCTTACAGTTGTCACTTTAGAGAGGTAGGCAGGCGCAAACACTGTGCAACCGAGTGTTCAAGGGCAGGATGGAGGCAGTACACTGACTGACCGGCTAGTGATTCCGCAGCACGTAACACCAGGTACCACCAGCGGCGAGCTACTCTTCCACTCTTCGTTCTGCCTCTGCCGACTATGCTTGGCTTGCACTGTTCGGTCCCCACCACGAATTCCGACCCCAAAGCCTGGCCAATCGTGCGGCATCCTTTCTCTCTCTCTGTGAACTCTCTCCCATCGAATTCTTCTTTCTATCCTTCGAAAGCTTCCTCCAATCGTCTCCTTGACCGTCATCGGAAGGGTGGCTGACTCACCCTCCACCAAGAGCGTGATCTTCCGCTCGGTATACCGAAAACTTTGGTTTCAACCGTGAACCCAATGTCGCCAATTCTGTCCGCCGGTTTCTCTTCATTTATACGTACGTGGAATGCATACGTTATTTTTGGACGAATTTAAGTTACGACGGAAGTAGTCTACGCGTATCAAAGGATCACATCGTTGCTATTTCCGACACAAAAGGAAGGGAGCAGGCTTTTCAGGGGTTGACGGGAGCTAGAATGACTCATCCGATAGTTATCCCAGCTGCGCGTCATATGGCAGTCCCGTTGTATGTTTCCAGGACTTGGAAACGACATGGGGACAGTACACGCGTTACTAATTTTAACACCTCAAACATTCTATTATTACAGATAGACGTTTTATAAAATACTTTGTATGTACAATTTGCTTAAATTATCGTGATCGAAAATTAATTATATTGGAATTGGTAAATCTTTTGCGACTAACACCAGAATCTGATCGATGCTCAGGCACCAGTTCGCTATGTTCTTAGATACTTTACACCAATTTTCACCGTGATGAGGTTCCGCGGCGATGCATCGTTTCTTCACGTCCTCTTGCTGTTCCTCCGTACCGTTTAAAAGCTCGAACTTGTAAAAGTACGCCCATGCATCCCCTAAGTCCGGGTCTATTTTAACTGTCCGGTTAAACCAGTCGCGACATTTGGAAATTTTATGCTCGCACCAGAATAGCCTTCGAAATAATCGTTAAATCAATATGGGTTAGAATCGGATGCAATATGGATTAAAGATATTGATTAGATTAGATGTTATTTACTTAGACACCGCCAGGAGGACGTGAGGATCGTGTTCACATTTTTTCAAAGCATCGACGCTCTTCGTTTTTCTCTGTGGGCGTGGTTCCATGAAGATGGCCTCTGCCCATAATAAACCGGACGTTGGACACTCTTGCAGTGCTTTTGCCATGAGCGTGTTCGCCATGTCTCTGACACCGCCCGACTTTAATTCGTTCCTAATAGCTTCCAACCAAAGCTCAGCGTTCTTTGGATTTTTCAAGCGAGCCTTCTCCAGAACCGATCTGGCTTTGGTAACTTGACCCTTTCTGTGTTCCAACTGCGCGAGCAACCGCCACAATGGAATGGAATTGGGACATTTCTTTATCTACGAAACAAGTCAAAAGTAAAGTTTAATATTGAACCGAGGTTGAATTAGTAATACTTAATGAGAATCCTTACGGCTTGATTGTACGTTTCCAAAGCTTTATCCAAATTCCCCTGCTGTTCTTCTATCTGTCCTTTCATCAACCATAATTTCGGGAAATCGTCAAAGGCCTCTAGAGCTTCTTTTAGAAGCAATAACGCTGCGTCGAGATTGTCCAAAGCCCATTCCAATTTCGCACTTTTCATCATTACTCTCGGTGTCGGTGCGGATGCCCTTGCTTTCGCGAGCAAACGCCTGGCTCTTTCGTACTCAGAATTTTCTGATTCCAACTTCACGGCTGCTAACCAGATCTCCTCAGAATTCGGATTCGCTTGAAACGCGAGAGACAAAATACCTCTCGCTGCTGGAACGTCGCCCTGCGAATAGAAAAACAAATAGATCGCTCGAGAACTTATCTCAAGATTTAATTTTCCTGCCAGAGTTTTACTTACCGCCAACCATTTTGATTTTGCACCCATGAGCCATAGCACTTCGCTTTTCGGACAGTGGGCGACTGCTCTCTGAAGCAAAGACTCCAGAGATTCTCGCGTTCCGTAGGTTTTCTCGAAATAAGCTGCACGTAGCCAAATTGATTTTTTACTCGGAAACGTCGACAATGCGTAAGCATAAACTGCTCTGGCGCATTCCAATGCCCCTTGTTGAGCACACTGGAACGAATATAAAATTCTATGGTATGCCCCTTATATCGTATGAAATAAAAGATGAAATATAAGATCTTACGGTTTCCGCGTCTTCCATCCACGTATGTTTCCTATCTTCTTCTTCCACTCCGAAACTAATAATTGCTTTAACGATAACTTGGCACGTATGCACTGCCCCAGCCTTTTCAGCTTCCATGGCTTCTTTGAACCAGTGCTCTCTGTTAATTTCTACTCCGTTCGCGCTTAAAGACGATATCGCGCGATCAATGATTTTCTCTACCATGTGCTTATTCCCGTTTGCTTCCTCCAACTTCGCGGCGGTCGTCCAGATCTGCCTGTCTGTTGGGATATTTTCTCTCGCCTTGTTAAGCACTTTCCTGGCATTGTCGTAAGTCTCCAAACGAGCGAGAGCAAGCCACAAATCGACGCTCGTCGGACAGCATTCGACCGCTCGACTCAACAAAATACGCGCATCCTCTGGTTCTTCCAATTCTACCGCCGCTTTCCATAATCGAACGGAGTTCGGAATATGTTCCAATGCTTTACGATAGACCCTTCTCTTCGCCTTCGTTTCCGTTTCCAAGTCCGCTGCCTTTATCCAAATGCGAACGGACGTTGGTATATGCCGTACAGATTGAGCGATCACTGCTTTAGCCGTGTCCGGAGGTTGGAGTCTAGCCGCTTCGAGCCATAAATCTTCCGACGTAGGATTCACCTCGCAGCCTTTCATTATTAAATTTCGTGCAGCTTGCACTTTCCCTGTAACTTCTTCTAAACGAGCAGAAGCTATCCACGCTGGCGGATGATTCGGGTTTGTCTCTCTCACAGACTTCAACAACAATCTAGCTTTTTTAATGTCACTGAAATAAAATAAAAATTAAGACATCGTTCCTAACGTGAAACATGTATTCCTTATTGCCCGCACTTACTTAATATCGCCACCGTACGTTGGAATCATGCTCTGCAAGTCTGTAAGGTAACCCTTAGGATCGACGACCGTCTGGCCTTCGACGGAATCTGAAACTTGATTCAGTTTCACGTTCATCAAAGTGTTTCTGGCTTGTCCAATTTTTCGCAGATCCAAATCTCCCGTCGGCGTTAACATTCCCGGGGTCGCTACGCCAGGCATCATAGATGCCAAACCGCTCGACGGATCTATACTGTTTGCCGTTTCACCGCCCAGATTCCGTGCGAGGACGGAATCTGGTAAAGGCGTGAATTTCTCTGCCCGCGGGTTTCTTTGCTTTCGATTCCTGGCATCGCCGACCTCTGGAACATTTTTCCACTCTTCCTCGGTCACGTTCACCAATTCCCTTTTCAAGTCGGAAAACTGCTGTTGTATTTTAGGTCGTTCTTGACGATACCTCTCCAGCTCTTCTCTGAGCCTCTTTTCTCTATATTCTTTACGTTTTTCGTCCATTCGTTTGTCAATAGCCTCGTAGATAGCATCAGCCTCCTCGTCGTCTTTATCGTACGGGTCCTTGCTGAACAAGGACCCACCATATCCTGAAAATTCATCATAATTCGAATCGTTCAAATCTTCCTCATCTTCCTCTTCTTCCTCTTTCTTCTTCGTTCTTTTTGTGGGTGGAGCGTGTCTATCGTCCCTGCAAATCGTACGGTATTAACACAAGACTGTTATTAAGCCAAAACATTCCATATTAATAAGATACTTACGAAACATCGTTAGCATCTCGAGCTGGACCGATATCAGACCGAGTTGTAAATCCAGTAGCTCTAAAAATATCGGTACATTAAAGTTACACGAGCTTTCCTTTAAAAGATCAATGTTAAAACGTATTAAACAATATTACCCTCTGCCTACACCAGCTACGTATCCCAGAGGTGCTGGGACACCAAGGAAGTGTTTTTTATTCCTCGTTGATAACGAAACTGGCGGGACTGCCATCCTGTGCTTCTTGTCAACTTATTATTCTCATAAACAAACGAATTCACCACGTAAATACAACAATTCAATACTATACAGTAAATACTGAATACCGCACTGTATATAAGCGCATGGTAAAGCGCCACCTACGTACGTGTATCAGTGGATTAAGAATGTATAGGCTATACATATACTTAAACATGCTGGCATGTTGAATTTGTTATTATAGATTCTTATTACTATTAAAAAGCTAAAATTGTAGTGATTGCACATTTTTCATAGGTAATAGTATCACCTACAACTTTTACTTGAAGCATTCTTCGATATTTTGAGGAAAAAAAAATTTTCAATTTTTCCGAGATTTTTCCAAATGCGTTTTTCTGAGGTACATAAACTTTTGGTATTGACTATATAGCCAATACATCCTTAAACGCGTCTGCGTATTTTTCCTCGTTTTATAAGAAGGGGTATCTGACAAATTTTCGAAAGGTGTTTCAAATCACCGAGGATCATAAGTATACAATTTCCTTCTGTCTCGTATACTTCAGGTACAATCGATTAAAAATAAACGAAGTTGATATGAATTTTATTTAGCATAGAAAATTATCTTACACAACTAACAATTCACATCTTATAAAATAGAAATTAAAACATGTTTTCAGGCTGCCTTTCTACATTATACACACAATAGTTTATTTCGTTGAAGATGTCTGGACGTTTATATAAAACATTACGACGCCTATTAGACATACTAAAACAGCCAGAATGCTGTACTTTTTGTAATTACCACAACTCTCTTTCTGTATTTGTCTCTTGTCAAGCCTGTCCTTCCCTTTGCGTCGGGGTTTGAACTTTCGTTCGAACTTCTCGATCTCCTGCTGATTACGTATTTCTTCGGCTTGGCGTTTCTGCTCCAACAACGCGGCCTCGGCCAATCGTTTTTCCTCCTTTAACTTCTTACAAACATCGTCGCAGCTGATGCGGATCTCCTCTTTCTGCACTGTCGAACAAACGAAATCCTTTTTAATGCGTTTGCACGTGCAAAACAGCTTCACCTTCTTGTTACACTCTCTTTCGTTTTTACACGGGCCCGGATGGCAGTTGTTGACGCAGCGATGTCCGCAAGCGTACTATAAAACAAAATACAATCGTTTAGCCGATGATACATACATTTAACAGCCACGAGCAATCGAAATTTAATTACATTTTTCGGACATTGATTGCCGCATTTAAGCAATTCATCCCGCTGTTCGGGTTTGGCCGACGTCAGCTCGGAACACCTGCGGTACAATGTACTTATGCCGCAGTGGCACGAGATCTTGACTAGCTGCTTGCAAGGGCTACATGGCGCGGGATGGCAAGGTTTCGGGCACGAGTGCGTGCAACCTTGTGGTCGTGGAAAAAGACACGGCTTCTCGCAGTCCATGCAAGGGACGGTGTTCTTATGATCCACGGAAGACGGCACTTTGTGACAGATCAATTCGCAGGTGTGGTTCGTGCACGGTAACGTTCTCCCGCAGAATCTCCAGCAGGGGGTAGGCCTGGCCATATGACACGGCCATGGGTTCGTCTCGTGTCCGCCCAAACACGTGACTGGCACGGAAACCTCGCACGGAGGGCATGGCAACGTTTTCAGTTGCATGGTTTCCTTTTGTATGTCCCACGGTCCGGCTGGCTGCGTCTTCATCTCGTTTTTATTTACCTTCACCCAGACCTTCGTGTGGCAAACGGCGACGCAAGAGTGGCCGCAACGTTTATACACCAGACCGCAGATCTTTCTACAAGGTGGACAAGGGCCTTGATGACATTTGTGTGTCTCCCTTTTTGGGTGGTGACAGATCGGCGGTATTTTACACGGTTTGTTACAAGGTGGAGGTTTAATCTTCTTCATCGTACCACACGGCACCGTGATCTTCTTATACCCGCATCTACAATGAATGACTTCGGTCCGCGCGCACGGATAACACGGACCGCTGTGACACGGAGCGGAACACTTGTGTTTCCGGCAGTTCAGGGTGTTATCGCATACCTTCTCGCACACGTTGTACGTGTTTTTAATCAGGCAGTCGCAACACTTCTTATTGCACAAGTGCCTGCCGCATAAGCGTGTCTGCATGCATTTCTTGTTGCAATGAAACTCCTTGCCGCACGCTACTTCCTTCTGGTAGCTGCCGCATCGGCAGGATTTGGTGACCACTTCTAAACAATGTCCGCAACGATCCGTGTGACATCGCATATTGCAGTAATGTGAGCCACAGTCTAACAACTTGCCGCACGTGTCACCGCACGTTGGCAATTGCTCCTGTTTGCATGAAACAGCGTAACGCTTCTTGCCGCATGGACACGTCCTGTTTTTCTCTAGCAAGCAAGGCTCGCAGTCACCGAGCGAGTGGCACGTACTTTGGCACGTGTGCACGTTGCAGGAAAGTAGTCTACCGCAGGGCTTGTCGCAAGTCCACGGACCCTCCGAGCACAACTTCAGTTCCTCGTTACTCTTGCAGTGGCATTTAAGCTGCAACACCTCCGAACAAGGCGGACACTCGCCAGAGTGACACACTTCTTTACAACTGTGCGGACATAATTGATATCTTTTATTGCACACAGTGCCGCAACTCCAGTTCTTGTCGTTACACCGTCGTTGCTGAGGCATCTGTTTCCCGCAGAAGCATTTTATAGACACGACTTGTGCGCAAGGAGGGCATGGTCCAGGGTGGCACAGTAAAACGCATTTGTGTCCACATTCTGGTTGCAACGGCTTGCTACACGTCTCACCACAGGAATGTGGAATGTTCCATGGCTGACACGACGGATCTGTTACTTTCCTACAAAAGCATTTGTAGTTACGAGGAACTTCGTCCTGGTCATACTCCATGCGACATTTCGGACTGTAAAAAATGATGAAGTATTAACAATTGAGTAAGACGTTCAAGTAAATGGATCTCTTACCATGCCCATATTGGCGTGATGCCCTTCTCGCGTTTAACGTTTAAACTGTCTTGAATCCAATGTAAGATGCAAGACAGATGGAGGAAAGCGAAACATTTGCTGCAATTCCAGATCTGAAACACACAAACATCACATTATAAAATACGAAAGGTTTAAGTAATATCAAGAAAACTCACTGGGTCTGCTTTCTTCACTGTTGAGATACATATTAGGCAGACAGCACTGTTGGATTGAAAGATGTTGATCAAGTACGATAAAATCTTCTCTGCGTCTGCCTCCCTCCCTTGGTACGCAGACAGTACCTTCCCAATAACGTTTTGCATCTCATCTTCGTTCCTTTCGTCTTCATCCTCGCTCGAAGATTCCAAATAGGCATTTGCTTGCAAATGTTTATTAATCGCTATTTTATTCTCTGCTTGGGCTCTTTTAAACTTCTGCATCTTTCCTGCAAATCAAATCTTACGTTCATTAAGCATTCTGCGAAATACGTTCTCTGTCGAGTATCTTCTCTTTGATGAACATTGCTTATCACTTACGTTCTTGTGCGACGCGATATTCAACGTGCAACTAATAACATATTGTTCTGCATCAATCCCACGTGGAGCAGGCGAAAAGAATTTTAATTAAAACACTTGGCATTCGAATTGTGCGAAATTGTACGTTTATGTTATACTTTTTTGTTAAAAATTCGATGTTCTTAATTAATCACGATTCACGTTTCATGGTTACTTCGAGGTAGAGAAATTGAATTCAATCATTAACGATCTTGTCATTCCGAGTTACTTCGCAAATATAATTCCATTGGCTGCTTCTCACAGATAAGAAGAGCTGTTACTCATACTGAATTACGTTTTATAATCGAACGATTTTAACGTTGTCTTCACGAACGAGTAGCTTCCTTCACCGGATCGTAAGCTTCATTAACATTTGACAATGTTCAATACTTAATCTGTACAACGATATTTAATCACGACGAAAGTTAAAGTCATCTGTTTCTATTTTATAGTATGCTTTATGCGAAAATCAAGTCTACTAAAAGCTGTCCGAGCTGATACGTGTACTCGGTAATGAATGGAGACGTTAACCCTCAATGGTAAGAGTTCCAACGATGAGTGAAACGAGAAATGGAATTAGAATAATGGAATGATTATGATTGATCGAATCTCGTATATTAATTCGGTGTACAATATGAACGCGAAGATACAGTGGCAGAAGAAGTTGTACGAGAATCGTGGCCTGCCGGACAATTATACGAACGATTCGTTCTTGGAGGAATTGCGTAAAAATATAAAACCGAATAATGTGACGTTAACAGAAGCTATCAGTTTCGGTGCGACTGTCTGTATTCAGCTAAACATCGTTATTCTTTTTGTCATCATATTTATTTGGTTAAACAAAGAATTGACCAGTCCCAACATCGTGTTCATATCGGTTGTACTGCTCACAGTATTAGGTTATTATGTATATTGTTTAAAAACCCCAAGTACTCTGATTAATCTGACAAAACATGTGAGAATAGTGTTGATCTTCCTTATATTTGGTTATATCTTATCACCGGTATTGAAAACGTTGACCGAGACCATCAGTACAGACACCATTTATGCCATGACGATATTAATGTTCTTGGTGCATTTAATATTCAGTAAATACGGCCCTCTGCAAATTTCCCTCTCAGATTCTTTGTCGATAACTTCGTCGATCTTCGGCTCGTTGATGCTGGCATCCAGATTGGCATCGCCTTTTCATGCTTTCACTCTTCTCACCGTCTCTGTACAATGTTTCGTTCTGTTACCGTTTTTGATGCACAAGCTCAACCGTAAAATATTGATCTCAGGCTTCTTAACACTCGGTATTTCGTATTTCCTTTTGCTAGTCTCGCAAACATTCTTTTACGTGTTCGTTGCAACTATCATGTTCTTACATTTCATTTGCCCGTACTGGTACGTGAAATGTCAGAAGTATAAAGACAATATCTATGGGCCTTGGGACGAGGCTGTTATCATTATCACTTCTTGAAAAGATTCGTTTTGTTTCACGGTATAAAATATTACAAAACAATATACATTAACAATTTCCTAAGAATTTATATCTCATCGATGATAGTACGAAGTACAATTTTTTTACATACATAGAAATAATTACTGAACGTTACATTGGCCAGTTGTATACAATTTTTGATCAGTCGAATTTCTTCGGTATAAATACTGTTTATAATTGTCGCGGTAGTTACAGTAAATACAGGAACGTGTAAAAAAATATGTTTCATGTACAGTACGATTCACGTCACAGACGTTATATCTATAAAACGAGTTACAGATGAATCGGCAACGAGTTATAAATGTTAACATCACATGATAAACTGTAGTAGCCTTTTAATTCTTCTGACGAGGGCTTCGATGAAACCCTGGTCCACCGTTGCGTATTCACTGTGCGTGTCCAATAACTGTTTAATAAAATTGTCTGTAAACGTGGAGACGAGACCTTGTTTCAATTCCATCAACGTTTCCGACGATACCTTCCACGCTACCATACTTTCATCTATCCCCGCCGAAGAAACTGAAACGAGACGAATCTGTAAGCTGGAGAACGACGAGTAAAATGATTCGGAACAGTTACCTTGCATTCGACCGTGTCCCGAGACCACCTGCGTCATGTAGAAGTCCAAGTGGCTCCAAAGAATGTACAAAGCGTGTTCTATTATCAACGAACAATATTTGATTGTTTTGCGTTTCTCCTTCACCCAGCGATTCAATCGCTGTTCCACTATTATCCGCTGCTTCTGCACGTCCATTTCCGCCTCCTCGTTCGACATATATTTCTTCAACTCAGCCGTGTTCATCTCTTCTACTATCACCGACTTCTTAATCAGATTATCTATGTGTGGCAATTCTGTATGTAACAAATTTGTAACCGAAACGAGTTGATCGACGATCGCCCCTAGGTGCACGTCGCCAAACGTGTCTTTTGTTTTGTCTTCCCTGTTCCCTGGTTTCAACGTTAAGTGAGTGCTGATCTTTTGATCCATCCTGCTATGCTGCATCTGATTACGCGTATACATCATAATGTTCGCGACTATTTGAACGCAAGAGATGTGCTGTTGGTTCGCTTCCGTTTGCTCGTGATTCAGCTGAATCGGAGCTGGCTCCAGTTGGAATTTACACAGTAGAGACAGCATTAGTCTCTGGAGAGATGACAGATGAGTGCGAAGTTCCCTCATACCGCTGATATTTTCCAATTTTTGTTCGTCGTAATCGCTTTTGGCCAGTTCCTCGTCCACCAGTTTGTACATATCGACGTTCGCCGATCGAGATATCACGCCGGTGAGGCAGGCGATTTCCTTTAAGAAAAGTTTGTTCGCTTTCGGGAACGCGTTCCTTAGCACCATCTCGATGGTGTCGCGATGGCTCTGGAGAAATCCGCAGACTTGTACCGCACACGATTGATTCTCTGTCCCGAGGGTAGTGAGCAGGGCGTCGCAGAGGTACAGAGCTGGCAAGAATATTTGTTGGTAACGTTGCCCGATCGAGGGTATGAACGAATAATCGCCTCCCTCGAAACCCACGTGCACGTCTGGGTGATGATCGAAGACGACCATACTAGAGATGCATGACAGAATCTTGTTTTCTAACAGGCTTTCGGCACCCAATCTCGTGGAAGCCATTCTACAGAACGTTGCCATTTTCGCCTCGTACAAGTACAACGGTCGCAACGTTTGTGGCTCCGGTTGCAGCATGCTCAATAACATATTATCCGATTCCAAAAGGCTGTCTATCATATGTTTCAAATATCCTCTGCCAGTTAAATAGATGATCCATGAGTTGTCGTAGTCCAGTTCTAAGATCTTGTCCAAACAAGATAACGCTAACATTTTGCAAACGTCGTGACCACCGGAACAATTGTGGCACAAGATGTCCATCAAATGATTACCAAAGCTGTTTATTACTTGTATCGTGGCATATCGATGCGACCGTTCCTGCGCGAGCATCACCCTGTTCATCGAACTGTCCAATTGACTGACGTACATCAGTTCGATGATGTTCGTCGTCTCTGATTTTTCCAAACCGATCACGCAGAGGAAATTCAGCAAAGCTGCGTACAAATGAGTTATCACTTTCTGCGAGGAAGCGCCAGCGTTTAAAATCCACTGCAGAATGTGGCTCAGAATGATCTTCATCATCGTCGTGTTGGATGGAGACGACGGGAACGATTCGTTGTCCGTCTGCGTGACGAAACTGTTTCGTAGATGCACCAGCAGCATTAAAACAGTTCCGGATACTAAAGTTTTAATTTCGCTTAGAGCTTCGCACGACGTCATCTTTTGTAACAAATCGTGGGACAAGTTTAACAGGAGATTCTGTTTCTGTGACGTGGGTAGCTGTTGATTCGTCGCGACACAGAATAGTATCTCAGTGGTTTGGCACCAGCCTTCGACGAATTTGACCGTCGCGTAAGATAGCAGCTTCGTCTGGTTCCTCTTCAAGGCGTACGTCAAGATCTTCTGTACTTCTTGTTGCATAAGATTACGCTGGGTAGCAGTGGCACTGCTCTGTGTGACGGCCAATTCTTCTGTGATAAGAGAATGCAATTTCCTGATGTCTATCAGACGAGGACCACCGATCAACGCAACCGGAATGCTGCATCGTCCAAGAACCATTTCGACCTGCGACGGATCGAAGAAGTCTAAAGACAATGCTGGCTCCAATTGGAGTTGAAAATCGATGTAGTGCAGAAGGTCCATCAGTAATTTCTGGGAAGGGACGATCTGTCCTTTCTCTTGACCGAAGGTTCCAACGAGATGTTGAACCAAAGAGTTCTGCAAGCTTCCACCACCGACTCGTAGTTCGATCGCGGCTATCTTCAACAGCCACGACATGCAACCGAGCTCCGTTGACCTGGTCTGTCCCTCGAATGGCAACTTCGAAAGATGCCTCTGTACAAAATCCTGATTGGCGCTCGTTCGTAAGAATCTCAGTACCGAGACGGAAGTCTTACTGTTGGCAGTCAGGGTATGAAGAAAACAGTAGGAGGCCTCTGTAATTTTGTCACGACCTCGTTCGAGAGACTGTTCTAGTATTCCCAGTAACGAATGGAGACATGTCCGCGGGAAGCCTACAATGCCAGGCTGTAACAGAATAGTCTTCTTAATATCCTTCGTTATCGTGAATCCTAGCAAGTAGTGCGAAAGGTTCGGCGTTGGTCGCGTGATGCTCTGCATCATCAGGAGCAATATTCGTTCCTTGCAACTACCGGTGTACTGCTTCTCGTTCTCGGTCTCTTCGTCGTAAATTATATCGGCGTCCAAACACTCGACGAAACCATGCCTGATGCTCGTAGTCAATGCAGGAGTAGCCGTGAATGTGGAGAGCAATTCGGAATCGGCTCCCGGTTCGTTGGTCACTTCGTGGATCACGCCGACAGCGTGGAACGCGTGTTGCGGAAGCCAAGAACTGTACGATACGTATTTAGCAACATTTATCATGTAAACAGGCTTCTTCGATTGCGGATCCACTTCCAGAAGCAGTCTCGATAATCCGGTCATGATTTTATGGATCGATTTCGCAGCGGCCAGATGAGCCATGTAGCTGTGCTGCGTTTTTAATCCTCTCTCCAGTATTTCCAGGCAGTACAAGGTACCATTCTCGAGACTCTCCTTACCAGGGAAAGATTCGTAGGCGTCGAAAGCGTCACAGCCTTTGTCGAGGACGTAGAGTATAACGTGGAGTAATTCAGATTTTGAGTGCAGCCGCGTCATTATGTGATAACCAGGAGCAGAGTTAACTAACGTAACTTCTCCGCTTTGGAGTTCCACCTTGCACCCGGTGAAATCTTCCACAATCGGTTCGTACTGTTTAATCAGCTTCGAGAATATCTTTAAACAAGCTTCAGCGACTTCCCACTTTTCTCCCGGATTCTTGTACGATCGTGTATGAAATTTTAAAAACACGGTGTTGATTATAAAATGCAGATATGGGTCGAAGCCAGGATTACGTTGTCCCATTCCTAACAGTCGTAACACAGGGAAATCGGTGAGCACGTCTAAGAGTTCCAACATCGCTCGCGTTAACGGATACTCATCTTTCTTCGACTCGATCTCTTCAAGTTCCGTTTGGACACCTCTCGGCTGATAGCTACTGATAGTCGGTATGGTCGAGAGTATCTGCGCGGCCTCTAAATTTTGCCACACCGTGGAAGAACTCTCTGGTGATCTCGCTAGTGCCGCGAGTGTTCGTATTAATACGCTTTTCAATGGTATCGATATGCCACAGCTGACCAAACCGATCAGAGACGGTAACACTTTCCATCCTGGATTATTGCAAATGTTTATCCTGGATACTTCGTCGTTCTTCGCGATCACTTGCACGACCAGCAGCACCGCTTCGAGGCCTTTAACTTCCTCGGGCGTGATACCTTTCGGGTGACTTCTCTGACGGTAAACGGTGTCTTGACTGGGCGGTAATTCCTTCCGCAGATTGTCGTAGTACTGACTCAAGGACTTGAAAAAGTGATCCCAGGAAATTGTCGTTGACCCGGAAGATCCGTTCGGTTTAAGAAAATTAAATGCTTGTTGCGCGGCTTGCGGAGAAGACGCGAGAGACGCGATCATTTTCAGGTACGACACGAACAATCCTGCCGGCAATATTTCACCAGCGAGACGTACGAATTTAAAGAGAGCAACTTGCCTCGATGGCAAGTGATTTATGTACGCAGGAGCTGGTGGATGCGTCGCATCGGTACGAAGACACCAGTAATCCATGACCAATTCCAGCTTCAGAGGATCTTCCTTGTATAATTCTGCCACGGTTAACATCAGATACTCGAAATGATTATCTAGATTCAAGGGTGGCTCGATGCCCCCTTGCTGGTATGCCTGGATCAAACGCATAGGTCCGTCCGCGCGGCTTCGCAGCTCTTTAACTTTCAATGGCATCAGCAGTATAAAATCCGAAATAAGCGAATGGAAATAGCGGAAATAGAATTCTTCGTTGCATATACTCTTGTTCTTGAACAGTACCTCGGCCATAAAGTGAAAGCACTTGTTCGATAAAGCTGCTTCCAGTAGACTCTCATCTTCGTTAGTAATGTTCAACGACTGTATGCTGGCTTCGTTTTTCACCGTGGTCAAAGCAACCACGAAGGCGAATTGTATAACACCCCGTAACCCGGTACTTTCCCACTCGACGTTCTTCGATATCAGTTTTTGATACAATTCCTCGTGCGCTCTCTCCGCGATCAGTGGCATAGTACTGATTAACTCTTCGGCGTTCTCGTGACTGTGCAACGAACTGAAATTGATTGCACTCAACACGCTCATTATCAGAGCGAGCGTTACTTTATCTGGGCCGTTTTCTGCAGCGTCTGGTCCGATTTGTTTCGTTTGTAACAAGGATATCACGCGGAATAGAATTGGGTTTGGCAAGGAAGACTGCGCGGACCATAAGTACAAAATATCTGCTAAATCCTGTCTGGCATCGTTGTAAAGCTTCGTGACCATGTATCGATGTTTCGGTCCACCTAGCGCGCGATTCTTTTCCAATAGCTCCTGCTCCTTCACAGGATCCATCTTTTCCAACAGTGATAAAATTCTATCTAACAAACCATCCTCTTGCAATTTATTCGTATACTCCGTGATGTGTCTTAGAAGTCCGATCGGCGCATTTACTTTCCAGCTATGACCCATTCTCACTTGTACAAGCATTCTTAAAGTCGACGTAAGCGCCTTCTTCCCGTCGTAGTATAATAAAATAGCTGTCAGTCCTCTTGGTAAACCAGGATGATAAGGCATTTGCAACTGGGCAGTGCAAAGAAGGTCCAATGCCATGAACTCGTTTAGTTCATACATGTCTGATATAATAAGAGTTTCATCGACTAGCTCCTTTGACAACATCTGGGGTCCTAAGCCAGGAAGCGTTATACCATCCGTGGCTCCCTTCGAGATTTCCTCTCTGCTATTCACGTTCGGAGGCTATGATAAAATATATCTTTTTTTAGTGTGAATGTATTATTAACCCGTCTACTTTTTAGAGAAAAACTTACAGGATTTTTTAACAGAGTAAGAAAGTTTTGTCTGTGATTGCGCAAAGCTTCTGTGAATTCGTGATACTGGAGATCGTATGTAGTTGGCGGCGAGGTGATGTATCTCCCTACAAGACTTTGTAACTCCTTGTAGGGAGTCCACATATCCTCTGTGATTCCTTTTTCTGTTAAATATATTAGAAAAATAATTCGTTTGACCACTTCTCGCGTGCAGGTTACAGTGTCGCATGTAATGTACTTCGTTTGTAAAAATTAACACTCACCCTCGGACATTTTTTCGCGATGATCAGAACGTTACGAAAACACAACACTGGTTGAACAAATTATCGTACTTAAATATAACCGAGAGGAAGCGATCTCGTGAAACATAATACAAATACCGGTCATCTGGCGGGAACGATGGAGATGGTTTTGACGATTTGTATCAAGTGAACGTAGATGCACTTCTTAGTGTCATAAAAGCACAGAGGATTCGTTTTCATCAAAATTATATGTTTTTTTTAATTAGTAATATAATTAAATAAGGAGCCACGTGTTTCTCATCAATGCATCTTCTATAATATTATTATATTTACATAAAGAATGATAAATTTATTTGATCCGTACCAGAAATGCAAGTAGCGTTACGGGCATCAATTGTATCTAGTAATCTATGGTTTTTTTCTTTCGTGTCGCGATGTTTCTCAGTTAATAATTTAAATGACATTATTTTGTTACTTTCCTTGTATTGTATAGTCCGTAAATTCGTAAGTTAAAGCAACGGTCTATCCGATACGTATAAAACTACACGAATGTACGATGCGGAACGATAAGATATCTTATAGAAAATGTGCATATGTCGCCGGCCGGTACTTTTGTGTACGTGGTCAGTTTTTTAATAGACATCAATCCCGCGTAGCCTCTTTATTTGGCATGTTTTCACAGCGTTAAGATATTCCGTCTGTCGTTTCGTTAATTAATTGTTTCGCCGAGTGATCGAGAGTTTTTTTAAGCCGTACTCTCACGGGGTCGACCTACCGTTAAATGACAAATGCCATGTGTCTTCGACACGTTTCAGTTTAGCGATTTTCGTTCATGCTTAATTTCATATCTTTTATCGACACACGTGTGTTTTTAAACATTTATCTGCTTCCGCATGCGAGACAGCTGTGGTTTTTTTCATATTTAAACGGATACAATGTCCAGATGAACAATTGCAATCTCTTCCTGTTTTAGATAAATTGAAGTGAAAGTGGTGCTTACCGAAATTGATACCTCATAGTCTTATCAACATGACTACATTGATGAAAACGAGGGGTCTGCGTATGTCTGCTCCCAAGCAGGAAACGCTTTTGAAATTGACCGTCTTATCTCTGGCAGCAATATTATGTACGTCCTTTTACGATTCTCAGGATTCACAATATTTTCCATTATGCGAATGTATGTTTTTCTTTCCTTTCAGCGTTTGCTACGAGATTATTCTCAGTCTTAAGATTTGAAAGTGTTATCCATGAATTTGACCCGTATTTCAATTATCGCACAACAAAATACTTAGCAGAAAATGGATTTTATAGTTTCCATAATTGGTTCGATGATCGGGTTTGGTATCCTCTTGGGAGGATAATTGGAGGTGTGTATACAGTAACGGACGTTCATACGAATCGAATAAATAATTAAATTACTTTCTCTTCAGGGACTATATATCCAGGTTTAATGATAACTTCGGCAGCGTTATATCATATATCATGGTTATTAAATATTACTCTAGACATACGTACTATCTGTGTCTTCCTCGCTCCGTTATTTTCTAGTTTGACGACAATTATTACTTATTTACTCACCAAAGAATTGAAGGTAAAACGATTACCAGCGATCCCTTTATGCTACCATGACAAATGTTATTTTACAAGGATTGTATTGTTTCAAGGATTCTGCGTCAGGATTATTTGCTGCAGCTATGATAGCAATTGTCCCTGGTTATATATCGCGATCAGTAGCGGGATCTTACGATAACGAAGGCATAGCTATTTTTTGTATGTTATTTACATATTACATGTGGATCAAAGCAGTTAAGACGGGAGCGATTTGCTGGGCTACCTGCGCCGCTCTCGCATATTTTTATATGGTTTCTTCGTGGGGTGGCTACGTATTCCTAATCAATCTCATTCCTTTACACGTGTTAACGTTAATGGCGACTGGTAGATTTTCTCACAGGATATACACGGCGTACAGTATCTTGTACTGCTTAGGAACGATTCTATCTATGCAAATATCGTTCGTCGGCTTCCAACCGGTCCAGAGCTCTGAACACATGCTCGTGAGTGCTGATAATTTTACAGAGAAAATATTTTAAACGAATATTTAATACTTCGACATCTCTTCAGGCATTGGGCGTTTTTGGACTCTGTCAGATTCATGCCCTCGTTGATTATTTGCGTAGTAAAATGTCGCAGGAAGATTTCGAAATATTGTTCCGAGGTCTTCTTATCTCTGTAGTCAGTGTAACATTCGTGTTGGGTGTTATCTTAACGATCACAGGTACGTACGATTCTATCGACGACGTTTTATCGTGTCAGAGAACGTTCATGTTAAATTCGTCAATTTTCTTTAAGGAAAAATATCTCCTTGGACTGGTCGTTTTTATTCCCTCTTGGACCCGTCGTACGCGAAGAATCATATACCGATAATTGCTTCCGTTTCCGAACATCAGCCAACATCTTGGAGTTCATTTTACTTCGATCTCCAGATCTTAGTATTCCTCTTTTCACCGGGTTTATACTTCTGTTTCTCGAAATTAACGGACTCGAACATTTTCCTCATCTTGTATGGAGTTACAAGTTTATACTTTGCCGTGAGTAAATAGTAAAAGATCTATCTTAAGAAAGGCGAATTCGAATTAAATATCCTTTGAATTCTATTCAGGGTGTGATGGTTCGTTTGATGTTAGTCCTTGCTCCCGTGATGTGTATCTTGGGTGGAATCGCAGCTTCCTCTTTACTCATCACTTACATGAAACAATTGGACAGAGGAAAGACCGGTGATAAGAAATCAAAGAAATTTGAAAGTAATTACGTTCTCAGGAGCGAGGTAACAATATTCCATTACCATTTCCTATGGAATTTAAAGTTGTACAAGATTTATATCGATGCTTGTACGTTTCCAGATTGCCATGCTTTTTATAACTATGATGTGCATTCTCTTCTTTTCGTATACCATCCATTGCACGTGGGTCACAGCAGAAGCTTACAGCTCGCCCAGCATCGTGTTATCGGCACGTTCTCCAGACGGTGGTCGTATGATTTTCGATGACTTCAGGGAAGCGTATTACTGGTTACGCATGAACACTCCAGAAGTAATACTTTCGAATACGTTTCAAATAATTCGGTAATAATTGCAAGTGTCTACAACTGTATTTGTTCATCGCAGAATGCTAAGATCATGTCTTGGTGGGATTACGGTTATCAAATCACGGCAATGGCGAATCGCACTATTTTAGTAGACAATAATACGTGGAACAATACTCACATATCAAGAGTCGGTCAGGCAATGGCAAGCTCAGAGGAGAAAGCTTATGAGATAATGAGAGAGTTAGATGTGAATTACGTTCTCGTTATTTTCGGAGGACTCACGGGCTATTCGTCGGACGGTATTATAATGGAAATTTTACGGGTTTAAAAAGTGTATCGACTGTCTAAATATTTTTCGTTGAATTCTATATAGATATTAACAAGTTCCTATGGATGGTGCGCATCGGCGGTAGTACCGAAAAAGGGAAATCCATAACAGAATGGGACTATTACAACTCTGCGGGTGAATTCAGAGTTGATAAAGAGGGTTCTCCGATTTTGCTTAATTGTCTTATGTACAAAATGTGTTATTACAGATTCGGTCAAGTTTATACAGAAGGCGGTAAGTCTCCGGAATATGAAATAGAACGCGAATTCAATGTATAATGTTCGAAGGTAATCTATACTTGGGTGATTGTACAGGCAAACCATCTGGGTATGACAGAGTCAGAAATATGGAGATCGGTAATAAAGACTTTGAGCTCGATACGTTAGAAGAAGCTTACACCACGGAACACTGGCTCGTCCGGATTTACAAAGTGAAGGACTTGAGGAACAGAGGGATCTAATGAGAGAGAAGTAACATTGCCACAATTCCCCGTAATTCGTGTTTCGTAATTTCACTCGTTTGTAAGTTTCTTAATTGTCTACGAGATATCAAGAAGGCACTAAGTACAGAGTCACGTACATTTCCACTGCGCGTTAGTGTAATTGAAAGTTTTATAAAAGACATGCTCAGACCTCGTTATACACGTTAATTTAGTACGAACGTAATTACATCTACATATAAAGTAACTTAATTTTGGAGGTAATCTTTATACTAATGTAAGAACGAGTGTGCTGAAACACATTCATTTTAATAGCGTTTACGAAACTGTACCGACGTATGTATCATTAAAGAACATTTGGGGTGTACTTTATAAAATTGAATACTCTCTAACAAGCATTTATTTTAATCATTAAATTATCAAATTACTATACGTACGAATCATTTCATCGGGACTTGGTACGATAATTGATACTAGCCGATTTCGAGACTTGGGTGCATGCATATATGTATATTGAAAGTATGTACCTATTTATTATGCGTATACTTTAGAAACGTATGCCTTATATTGTGTGTTGCTTCTAAAAGAAAACAAACAAAGGTGTAACTAATATTAGCTGTTTCATGAACGTGTACGCGATTTCCCGGTGAAGATGAATAAATCTGAACGGGTGGCACTTGTCTTTTTATACATACATTTTATTCGATATATTTTACAGACTGTAAAACCCTTAGAACTTAAAACATTACGAAATATTTGTCGAGCCGTAACTGTCTTCGCGTCTCGGGAATTTCGGCTCGATACGAATCAATACGAATAGCGTCGTTTATACAATTACCTTAGTTATATCTTACCGTTAGCAGTTCTCGTTAATTTAAGAAACGCGGGAATGCAATCGTTCATTTAAATAAGAGATTTATTTACCGAGGTGCATAATAAAATTTTACTTGCGAGTTAATCGATTACCTTCTAATAGACCATAGAGGATCCAGCTGGCTCAAAGGATCTATCGCTCCTTCTTTAGATTTCTCTTGGATCGACGCCGCGACAGAATGCGTTATGCCACTACCAGTAGAACCTTTTTGCCGTCCTAAAGTTTCAACCAAATGAACACATCATTTTCTTTAAAAAACGAAAACAAGAATCTTACCTTGCTCGGCATCGGCTCGCTGCGCGTTGATACCGAGGCTGTGAAGGAAGTCGTCTGAAGGGTGCATCTTTCTGTTCGTTTTATCTTTACTTCCTTTCAACCCTTCAAAGTTCTCGAACGTCGAACGAGTAGACGATAATATTCCACCTAATAATTGACAAATCCGATCAGCAACAACTCGAGAACAATTGTAGATGAGAAACAAAGAGAGAATAGTCCTTACGTTTCATTAAAATGTCTTGAGCATGGTACAACACTAGCTGATATGCGAACAGCAAGGACTCCTTATTTACAATTTGTTTACGGCACTTCAGAAGACCTTTGAATACCAGGGGTACGTTGACTATCCCGCAACCCGCACGTATATGACACACCGTCGCTGCTGCTACGAGGAATAAGCTGCTCAATGCTCCGCCATCTAGACAGTGGACCACTACTGGTTTCGTGCAATGTCTTAATGCCTGCTCGGTCATCACATCCGTCGAGAAGCTGAGCAACGGGCCTGGACTACTAGGAAAACCGCTACGGAACAAAACGAAATCCGTTAACATGAATGGATCAGTCCAACAATATCAAAGTTTTCCTTACTTTGAAGGCCATGTGAGGAATTGCATGTGCACGACAGTCTTTTCGGAATTTTTCTTAGTATTATGCACAGAAATAACTCTTTGGACGTACGACATATGATTGGTTCTCTTTTTCAACCGAATCGTAAAGCTACCGACGTTCAGCACGTCTTCTTCGTTTATAGGCCAATATATCTCTCCGCTTAATTGCGAATCGGATATTAAACACGCGATTATCTCGCTCTCTTGTTCCCATATCATCGTCCAGAATACTTCTAGTTTGTTCGGCAACGGCGCTTGAGTTATAATAAATCCTGTTGGTATCCATTGCGTGATCTCCATTATATGGGAAGCGTTGATGTAGTTCGGAACGTCCGTAGTCGACATTTGTACCCTAGTTGTATCGTACGGGATACACTCCATCACTCTGTTTTCCGAGGAATGCGCCAACGCTACTGTACACGATTGTTTACTGCTCTCCCTTTCCTAGAACAAATATCGTGAGACGATCTCGGTATTTGATGGTACAGGAATAACGCGGTTCAACTTACTTCGAATTCTTGAACCTCTTTCCATTTTATGTCGAGATTGGTCGCACCGCTCAACGTCTTTACGAGCAAACTATCTACAAATTTTTCGTACTTCTCTACCTCGCTGACGAATTTTTGCAACGCTGCAGGATCTCCTAACGGATCTTTCTTAGGTTGCACATCGTTCGACCACGTGTCCCATACGATTTGTAAATTCTCGTTCTCCGTCTTGTCCTCGACGACGCTAGACGAAGCAGCAGGTTGCTCGTCGTCTTTCGTCGACTCGTTATTCGCATCTTCGTCCTTCGTTGTAGTTGCTGCAGCTTCGTCTTGGGATTTGGTTTCCTCGGTTTTATTCGCAGGCCGTACCTCCGGGACCAAAGGCGCGTGGTTTATCGTGACATCGAGATCCGCGAGCAGGTCTACGTTCGACGTTTCCGACTTCGTAGTCGACTTAGTAGGATTCGTGCTCGTCGTCGTATTAGTTCCGTTGTTAGCAGCTTGCATGTACGTCTGATTGTAATTACTGTAAGTTTCTTGTTTGCTAACGGACGCTGAAACAACGTGAAACATACAATTAAGATACAGATAAAAAGAAATAAGCTAGTTTGCTGCTTACTTTGATTTTGCATTTGAAGACCGTACTGCGTGGTGTAATAATTGTCGGACGAACTTTCCGGCAGATACGTCTGGCTAGAGTACTGAGAAGACGGAGTCTGGCTAACCGTGGAATTGTTACTAGCGTTCGTGTATCTCGCGCTAGTCTCTTGCTGTTGACTGACATTGTTAATACCAGTATTTATCTGCGGTGCCGAGTCAGTCGGTTGAGACACTTGAACAGGCTGCGAAGTCTGAACGCTCCCCGGGTTGTATTCGTAACACTGACTAGTGGGATTATAAGTATATCCCATCTGATTTTTATACGGTTCCTCCATCGCGTTAGCCGCTTGATTTCCTTGGACATAATTGTATCCCTGAGTGTAGCCATGAGCGTAGCCACCGTATCCCGAATACTGTTGCGGATACTGATAAGACTGTGGATAATTTTGTATACTCGTCGAGGACTTCGCGTGGCTCTGAATCATCTCCGCGTCGTTCGTAGTGCTCGCGTACGCATAAGTGCCAGTGGTATCAGTAGGTAACATGGTCTGTGGGTACGAAACGCTACCGGGATGCTGTATACCGTGATAAGTACTAGGATAATTCAACGCAGCGTCGTTAGTCAACGTCTGCGATCCATACTGATATCCTTTATCCGTATAAACTTGTTTACTCTGATCGACGGTCCCCTGTTGTGGGTATTGTAGAATATTCGAGCCGTGCATCGCCGGGGAGTATGAATCGCCCACGTCTTTAACAGGCAAAGAAGTCGTAGAATGAACAGATTGAGGAATGCTCGCGTTCATGTACTGCGGTTGTACGTAGTGTCCGGAACCGGGAATGTTGCTCGCTGCAGGGATAGTCTGGTTCGATGCGACTTGCTGAGTTTGTAAATCAGCCGCGTTATAATAAATGCCAGCGGCGTAGCTTTGGCTAGACGGAACTTCGTTCTGATTCATTTGAGGAAGAGTATAATTCTGCATTTGGTTGTCTGGCAATACGTGCTGATTTTGCACGATCGGGACTGGCTCTTGAGGAACGAATTTCTGTTGTTCAAGAACATACTGCTGTCCTGGTTGAGTCGCAGTCGTATAGAGATGTGCGTGCATATCCGTTGTCTTGTTCACTGTGCTCGATAGAGGCATAGTTTGCGCTATCGTCGACGGTTGAGTGGACATTTCGGTTTTAGCAGCGGTACCAGTCTTGTCGAGATTCGGAGGATACTGCGCAACGTTATATCCAGCATAATCAACTGTGGGTTGATAGGTCTCATACTGTAACGCGCTGCTGGGATAGTTGTACTGCGACTGAACACTCGGGTACTTATGCTGGCTGTCCACAGTCGTAGAATACTGACCGTTGGATATGTAAGAATTTACTGGATACTGTGCTGTAGTGTCTGTCATCGTATTCGTCCCGAGTACCTGCGGATAAGTGCTCGCTGCGTCTGTACTATTTATGTGCATGTAGGTTTGATTCAAAGCGGCGTTCTCGTTGTACGTGCTAGACTCGTGAGAATAAGGCAAATTCGTTTTGTAATCCGTATACGGCGAGGGGTAATACTGCTGCATAGATTTATCAGCCGACATAGCATCGATCCCGGTGATTCCACCGGGATGGACAGTCGTAGCTTTGTTCACAGTCTCGTTCAAATACGATTTTCCGGCCACGTCCATCTGCTTGCTCTGCCCTTTGTAGACATTGTAATATTGATTCTGAATAGTCTCTGGTCTGTTATTTAAGTAATCCTTTAATTTAAGCCCGCTACCACCGGATCGGCCGCGGTTCGGATCGTAACCAGCCGCTATTACAGGATCGATCTTTTCTTGCGAATTCTTGTTACTATCCTGCGCAAGAATCTGTTCCCGTTCCTCGTCCTGCACTTTACAAGTGCTCTTCACTCGCTGAAGTAGTTTCGAAACATTTATTTCCAATTTTCTATAAAACTCAAGGCCTCTGCTGGATTTAGCTAGCAAGTTTTCGTAAGCGTCATAAGATGCGATTAACGAGGAGATTTTATGCTCACGACGTTTCAGAATTTCTTCCACTCCCTTTCGAACGTTAGCAGTTTGAGCGTAAGCATCTGTTAACGCGGTCAGTATGTTATCTTGTGCAGCTAGGTTCTGATCGATTAACGACACCAGGTTCTGATGTTTGCTGAGCTGATCCGCGAAAAGACGGTCCAAAGGCCCGGAATCGGACGTCGCAGTAACTAGCAAGCGCGTTAAATCGTCCTGCGCAATCGAGTCACGTAGCTTGGAATGCAACTCGCTCCTCTGTCTCCGCATCTCATCGACTTTGTTCAGGATACGTTTCAATTCCTTCGTCTGCATTCTTTCTAATTCGATCGCGCTGTGCGACTTATCGGTATTTTGTTCGGAAAGGTACGCGGTGGGCGAAGGTATGTGAGCGATAAGCTCGGCAAGCGGCTGAGAGAGTAACTCTAAATTCTTTACATGCTTTGTTATTCCTTTGTTAAGTGAATGATTGGTCTCCAAAGCTTTGTTATAGGCCTCCTCGTATTTCTTAGCTTCTCTAGTTAAATCCGTTGCGACTATCGAGGGCGGTCGCTTACCGACCGCGTCTTGATACTCCTTCTCCTTCTGCTCCTCGTCGAGAAGCAGCTTCTTAATTTCCTTCAGTATCTTCTCAACGTCCTCGCAAGTCTCTGATAATTTGTCCATGATCTCGACCAAATCTTGGATCCCGTTTTTCGCGTTCATCGCCGCGCACCTTTCGACCAATTCCTCAGGCAGAGGTAAACGTTCCCATTCCGTTGTCTGAGCGTCGGGATCCCAGAGGCTCATGTGCTCTAATTTCAGAGACGTCAGGTAGGTATTTAACTGCTGATCCTTCTCTTCTACTTTACTCCCAACGGAACGCAATATTTTCGCCTTCTCCTCCGAATACATCGAACTCGCTTCGTGTACCTTCATTGGTACTAATCTGGCGAATATATCAGGACCCGAGACTTCGGGATCGTTGATACTGAACGATATCCCTTTAACTAGAGGTGCTCCTTTCACAGTAGGTAATGTTTCCTTTTCAGGCACCTCCTCGTGGTATATGAACTCGTTCTCGTTCTTGGCTGCTTTACGCTTCCCTTCTATCACGTCGTTCGTGAAAGTTAATGCCTCTTCTATAATCGTTTTTTCTCCAGGAATATTCGAGTAGAGTAACTGCGCCTCGTTCAGAGAAGCCAACGCGGAATTATAAAACGCTACCCGTTCTCCCATCTTTCTCTGCTCCTCGGCAGCTAAGCCTTGATATAAATAAGTAACCGCTAAGTGATACGCCTTCTTGAATTTCAAGTAAACCTTCCAGCTCTGAAAAAGTAAAATCGTATATTTACGATGTTCCGTAACGTAGCGATAACTAGATAATGTTTTAAAATGTACCTTATAAATTTTAGTACCGACTGTGTCTGATATGGTACCATCCTCGCTTCCCCCTTGCTCAAGCGTAATTAATGCCAGATTGAAATAGTCCACTATTTGTCTCGCGACTTTTGCTGCATGATACATATATCTTGTAGAATGATACACGATTAAAGCCATAAAGGATTTGACGCTGTTATGCGATTGTCAGTTCGTTCTCGCTTACCTACGATCGACGGTTTCCGGTTATCCAGCATACTTTTCTCTAATATACATTCCTGAGCTTGCGCCAAGCAAAGCTGGTGCATGAACGTCATTAGCTCCGGCGCTAAATCTACCCCGGGTGGCTGCGGGTAACTATTTTTCAGGTGTTCGAACGCCCACGCTGCGCATTGAAAGTGAGCACAAGCCATCTTCATCCCTTCGGCGGATGTTCTCTCTGTAAGTGCTCCCAGTTGAGTATGCATAGCACCGATATTATACAAAATTGAAATGATTTCAAAGCGGATATTTGCCAATGAACAGACCATGTTAGCATACGTGTCCCTCCTGTTCAAACGAAACAAATTGATCATCAAGTAAAACGATTGATAGGTACTAATTGCTGCTTACGATTGATTTACCATGTAAACGTGACAGCAGCTGCCCCGTCTTTACCCATGGGGAATCTGCTCTGAAGGAAATGCAACTGGCAATAATACTTTTTCAACAACGAACAGCCCGCTACGTCGATGGGTGGTCTTATAGCCAGGGCACGTAGGCTTTCTAATTGACGTATTTCATGTGTATATGATTCGGGATCCTCGTTATAAAAGTCACGTATATACTGAAATGAAACAAAATAATATCATGACGTGTCTACACATTGTAATCAATTTAAATAGATAACGATTAAACTGTTTGATCGAAATCATTAAATAGAGGAAAGTTGGAGTAAGCTTTTACGATACAATACGACGAAAAGGACAATCGTAAATTGATGTAACGTAGTCGTAATTTAATTTCACTTGTTCGTACCTGTTTTAACTTTGGTCCAAACGTTGTGGGCTCGGGACTGACTTTCAATTGAAAGGATATCATCGGTAATCTTGGTACGGCCTCCATTGTAGAGTATTTATTAATATATTATCTTGCCCAAGTGTTTGAATATTGACAGTTGATCATCTGTCAAACTCGTAGAAAACGGATCTGTTCATAGAATATATACGCACTTTTCGCTACCGTTCATTATCGCGTATAGTATAGCTAGTAACAACGAAACTGAGCCAGCTATGTGCATGTATTAGTTTCCCCTAGGGGACAAAATTCAAAACGAGTGTACGTCTTATCTTTTTAATGCTCGATCAGGCGTTTATAGAATTTTGGTCGATACTGTTTGACACGTCAAAATAATAACAATGTTAACCTACGTCTGGATAAATAGTTACTGATGTAATTTTATTTTGAAATTGAATGTAACGGGAATGTGA